AAAAGAGGATAAAAACACAAACAATAAATTTAAACAATATCAGAGTTTTAGAAAAAATATAATATAACTGTCATTTAATCAAATAATATTTTTACCTGGTCTCCAAAAAACACTGGCATTCAATACAAACAAAAATGTCCTAAACAGTAATTATGCGGCCTAAAAATGAAGTTGGCTGCACATTCAAAAAGTCCATGATCAATGGTCGAGAAAACACCTGAAATTTAAATCAAGTTCTTGAAAGCACTTAAAACCGGCCTAACTCCGTTTCCATTAGTTGAACACGAGGAATCGCCGCTCACGTATTTTAAATGCCGCCTTCATTGAAGAACATGGATGCCGCCCACGGCAGTCACTCACATGGTAGCCTCTGGAACCAAGGAATTTATTCTGGAACAATCATCTTGTGGATATGAACCAAGGAACTTATTCCGGAACAATCATCTTGTGGACAGGAACCAAGGAACTTTATTCAGGAACAGTCATCTTGTGAACAGGAACCAAGGAACTTTATTCACCGGACTGCATGCATCCTTCTGAAGGGGCTGGAAACCGCACACCCAAGTGCCAGGAAAGCAGGAACTAGAAGAAGGGTTGAGCCAGAGCGACGCGAGATACTTATAGCAGAAGTAGGCATGACGTCATCTCACGGCAACCAATCAGCTATCGGCACGAATCGGCTTTCCAGATGACGTAACATCACGTTTCGTTTTTGCATCTCAATTAGGTTGAAACAGTCCGTTCTCAACGCAAACAGTGGCAGTAAGAAAAAGAAGTAGAAGTAACTACTATATTACATTAAAATAAGAACTAAACTAATAAACATTTCAAGGAGGAGAGATGATGCAGTAAAAGGTTTACAATAAGTTATATTTTCCAACACCTACTTATTTTAAATTTTCACATTGTTCTATATATTAAAATTAGAAATTAAAGTTAATGACCTACTACTGCAATGGTAGTTTCACTCATGCATGTGTTGGATTTGCACGCTGCTTATGGTGTCCCATGAATTTTAATTATTATGGGGTCCTGGGTTTACGAAAAAATCTCAATGATAAAAAGGGGTCGCGACTGAAAAAAGTTTAAGAACTGTTCTAACTTGTCAACCTCTCCACAATGTAGGCACGAGGGTTTACTTGTTCTGGTAAAAGTTGAATACCCCCCCCTACAGACATGAAGCAAATTATCGCTATGTCTGAAAGTAACTACGAAGTCAAACAAAGGTTTAACCCTTTCGCAATGGGAAGCACTTATTGCTGAAGCTGGCAGTCTCCTTCGCAAGTGTCTGTCCAGGGCCAGAGAATTTTTTGCTATTAAGTTTAAAATCCATGAAGAAGCAAGAAATGTACTCATTTCCTGGCTGGTACACTGGCATGCCAGAGCATTTTCTCTTGATATAAACATTCGCCTTTCTATACATTCCCTTCGAATCCCTTTTGTATTCTTTTTTTTGCTACTATGTAGGGTTACTATGTGAGGTTCTATTACATTTTGCATTGCTTTTATTTCAGAAAGCCTTCAGTTTACCTTATCCAACAGTTATAATACCTTATCCAACATCAGTTTATTATGGCGAGCAAGCGTTTTTTTTTTTTTTTTTTTTTTGCCAGACAAATGATAAATGAGACAATTAGTGATATAAATGAGAGAAATGATTTATTTCCTAAAGAGTTAAAAAGCGGTATTTCTAACGATTCCCATATGGACTTTTTTTTTAGAGATTGAGCTCATTGAACGTCTACCTTCCAGTTCATGTGAAAGATTTTACTTTTTTTTAAACAGACTTTCTTGTACTTTTTTATTAATTTAAAAGTTTATTAATGTATTTTATTAATTAAAGCTTTGGAATAATTTGAATAGCACTTCTGAAAATATTTCTCAAAGTGAGCAATTTTTTTAATATATTTTCATGTAAAGTAACGGAAAAAGATATTTAAATGCTAATTTTAACATATATGATAGCTTAAATAGCTGTCATAAAGCACGCCATTTGGAAACATTCCTTTCCCCTTATGTTTATATAATCAAAAATCATGTGTATGTGAATAATGCTACTCTTATTTCTTCTGCTCCCAAATCATTATGCAAATATGCATTTACAACTTTTAAAACCTAAAAACATTTTCCTGCTATACTATCATCATGCGATGATTTTTATGAGCTTTATTTTTTACTGCAATATTTTCGACAACGATGCTTCAGAACTGTGATTTGTTTCTTTGGTTTCTTTTCTCCCATTATGTTTTGTACCATCATGCTTTTGCCTTGCGTTGTTTTCTCAGCAACGTATTTACTGTTACGATTTCGGCTGTAACTGGGATCCTCTATACATAGTAGCTTTTCAAGAGAACAAAGGCCCTTATTTTCACAATATCTTGGAAGGATTTATTTCCTGTCAAGAATAACGCTGCATCGATACATGTGGACTTCACAGCTCCTGTAATCAAGTGAAGAGCTTCAATTTGCATCACTTCAAGTTTATTAACCACCGATTGTGGGGGTGTGATGAGAGCTTCACAACACATCAGTAAAGTCAGGATATAAGTATTGTTACGAAATGTACAAGTGCGGTAAGATGGCTTCCCTGCAAAGCAGTTTTAAGGTTGCCATAAAATGGGCAAAGGAAGGCAGAATTTCCAAATTTGGCGATAAATCGCCCATTTAGCGATATACCATGGATGGTTGGAGAACCTTCTGGAACGAATTCTTACCGGTTTTGCACAGAATGTTCTTGAACACAAGCTGAAAGCTATATAAACCCTGCTGGTCCGCAGTCAGTGAGCGCACTTCATGAAGAAGGAGAGTCAGAGTGCTCATCTGGAGTGCGAGTTAGTTAGTATCGTGTGTGTGCCTCGTCTAGCGAGCTGATAGTCAGTCATTGAGCAAGTGTCTCGAAGTCTAGCGCCGAGTGCATCGAGAGAGTCTTTTAGTGCATCGTCGAGGGCATCGTTTTAGTGCATTGGGGGAACGCCGCGACGCGCAATGTGTTGGAAGTTGATCGGTCTATCCTTATCTTCAGGGCAGATGTTTTTATTTTATTTGGCTTATAATTCCTTACTAAATGTAGTATTTCATCTTGATGTACTCCGTCTTTGATATGATTTAAATCAAGTTCCTCATCATTATAATTCGCTTCCGATAGTGAAGAAAGTGACACAGAGGTTATTGAAAACGAAAAAATTTCGATTGACAAATTAGTCGGTATTCTCGACACAGCAATTATAGGACTTGAACAGCAGAACTTTGTAACTAAACAAGAAATTATGTCTGTTTAATAGAATTAAAGAAAAAGTATTATCACATGAAACGAAGCAACTTAAATTGAAAGAAATGTTTAATAAAGTAAACAAATAAATATTAAGCTTTTTCTTTTTGTAAATTTTGATACCCTTTAAATCATAATTGTTCTTTATTTCAAAAATTATTCAAAAATCATATTTTTAAATTTTTGTAATTTCTGCATGCCATCTTACCAGATTTAAACTGATGATCTATAATCCGGAAAAATCGATTATCCGGAATCGCCGAAGTCCCGACAAATCTGGATTAATGACTTTTGACTGTAATTTTAAATTGTTATGTAACTAATTTGTGTATATAACTTTATACAAGTTATATACACAATGTAAATATTTGCTTCTTTAGTAATGTTATTTGTTTATTTTAGAACCTTTTGTTTGTATCGAATTATGCTTCTGACCAAGGGTTGTACTGCTCGGGACATGAAGTCCTTGGGAGGGGGCAGTGTTACGAAATGTACAGGCGAGGTAAGATGGCTTCCCTGCAAAGCAGTTTTTAGGATTGCCATATAATGGCAAGGGAAGGCAGGGATGCCACATTTGGCAAGAAATTGTCTGTTTGGTGACAAAATTGGCGATATACCATGGACGGTTGAAGAACCTTCTGGAACGAATTCTTACCGGTTTAGCCCAGAATGTTCTCGAGCACAAGTTGAAAGCTATATAAACCCTGCTAGTCCACAGTCAGTGAGTGTGCTTCATCGAGAGGGCGAGTCAGAGTGCCTCGTCTGGAGTGTGAGTTAGTATCGCGTGTGTGCCTCTTCTAGCGAGCTGATAAGTCAGTCTTGAGTGAGTGTCTCGAAGTCTAGTACCGAGTTAGTTGTCTAGTGCATCGTCGAGTTTTGTCTTAGACTGTGCTGAGTTAAGAGCTATACTCTTGTGTATCGTCGAGTGCATCGCGTGGAGAGTCTTGAGAGTACGTGGAGTTCCAAGAACGACCAAGCAAAGTTGTTAGCTGTACTCGGGTGCTTTGCAGCGAAGCTGTCTCCACCGGCCTGGGGGGAAGGCTGTGTGCGGGAAGGGGCGGCACTTAACAGTCGACGGAGAAAAGGGAGCTATCTGAATATTGGTAAATAAGGTGTGTTTCGATACTTCATCAAGTGTCATCGTTATTCACTACAAATCTACGAACGTGAAGGAAGAAAATAACGTAACAACTGGTGTCAGAAAAGAAATATCGTAACAGTATTAAATTCAATGTTAAAGGTGAACCATGCGTACTCCTAAATACAACATATTAAATGCTTAATAATACTAAGTCTATTTCAGAGTGATAAAAGTCACCGAGTACTCGTAATTCAGTTCAGGATTCGAATCCCAGCAGACATATAACATACTAAACGCCTAATAATACTAAGTCTATTTCAGAGTGATAAAAGTCACTGAATACTGGTAATTCAGTTCAGGATTCGAATCCCAGCAAACTGGCAAGCTACATGGGCATTTTTGTGGTTTTTTGCATTTGTAACATGTATATGGGCTAGTTTTCCTTAGAAAGTTCTCCCTTCCCTAGGCAGATAGCCCTCAAATGCTTTGCCATAATCAAATAAACAAACCAAACCCTATGATATTAATGATTATGATTTATGGATTAAGCTGCCATTAAATAATATAATGGCATATCTAACTAAATTAATTTATTGTTGTTGATGCCAAATTATATGAAAACTGTTCATACAGACATTCTTGAATGAATAATTTTCTAAAGAAAAAAACATATTTAATGGTTTAAAATGCACTTCTTTCAGGTATACAAATGGATTTTTTTTAAATAAAAAAATACAGCTTTTCTTTTACAGTTAGTTCACCATGTGTTTTCCTCCTCAAATACTTTTGCAGTTGAAGTCACTTCTCCAGCTTCATTTTCATCCCGCTTCTGTCTCTTAGGACATGGTAATCCTTTAATAATAAAAGAGAAGACAAAATAATTATTCACATGTTAAAAAATTATAAATAACAACAAACACAAGAAGTTTTATTTAATTAAACCAATATGGGAAACTAATATTGTGTGCCAATAGATACAAAAGCATCTCTTCTAATACTCCTCACATCAAATCTTAACACTTTACTGAGTAACCCATTTCTATTAATAATAGTTAAGTACATGGATTCAGATGAAATCTTTGAATACATAATTTGTAATATGATCCTTAGCTTTATTAATTATATTTGAATATCTTCTCTAATTAATGCCAGCATATAACCATCACCCTCCCCCCAATTTCTGTACTGTAATGCATTTGCAACAACAACCAAAAAAAAAGAGAGAGAGAGAGAGAGGGAAGGAAATTCTTTTGACTATTTGATTACTTTATTTATGCTATTCCGAATATTATTCTTTGAAAATTATTCTGTGTTAAAACACACCCATTTTTTAAGTTTATCTATACTTAATCAGTTACTGCAAATACATTAAATTAAATAAGTAAAATATAATTTATAAATATTCATGCATATGCTCATAATATAGACATAATGATCGTAATTAACATGAATATGAACTGATCACGTAGAATGAGAATCAAAATTATAAAATCTTGATAGAAATTCAAACGTGTGTACTATTGGGTGGGAGGAAAAGAATAGGGAATGTACTGGAATTTTCTACCGCTTTTGCAATTCTTTGAATAATAGAACGACGTGCACCTGTCTGTACTCACGTGCACCAAAGGTTTGAAATATAATTTTTTATAATAATATTTAATAAATATAAGGTTTTGAAATATAATTATTTTTTAACATAAAATTTACCTTCATCTTAAAGTAGATGTATTTCTAAGAATACCTGCAAAACATGAGTTTTTTTTAATTAAAAATTTCCTAAGATATATGTGAATTTACATATTGGCACATTGTGAAATTTGGATATTTGCTATAAGCAATAATAGTGCGAAATGTGGTTTATGCACTTTGTTAAAATGATTTGAAAGTATGAATGATGACCTTTTTTCCACTCGTGTACAATGAAAAAAAAAGGAAGAAGAACAGGTTGCTATAAATAAAGAAGTCTGCCAAGTTAATCATTCTTGGCAAAAACTGAAAAAAAAAAAAAAAAAAAAAAAAAAAAAAATGCACCAAGATAAATTTTTAAGTTTCTCACTAAAAATTATAAAATTTAATATCTAATATATATTTTAAGTGGTGCTTTTGAGACATGCAAAACACAAGTTAATTTCTACAATCGGTCCATTAGAAAGGGAGATATAGAACTGTTCCATTTTTTGTGCAAGGTGTACCTGTTTAGATACAAATGCCCATCCTTTTCTTATTTCCTGACTTGTTTGTGTAGCTTTAGCCCTTATTTATTTAATTATGCTGATAATTAGTCTATCCCTGGTTGTGATAAAATAGTCTTTTTGTTGATACAATAACCTTATTTCTATGGATCCATCTTCTTATACTTTACCTCAGATTGTCTGTTCTTTTGTTTCTTATACCAAAGTTGATTGAAGTGAAATGTTACTGTGGCTTCATTGGTAGTTTACATGACAATTACAATTACCTATTTCATCCTCATGCACAGTCTTGATTTGGCTAGCTTGATTAACTTCAGTGATTGAATGATTCTCTTCAAAAAGAAAATTAACAGCAGAAATGTACTACCTTCTCAATTTTCTGAACTCTCTTTATTTTATGGATCACTAGCTACTTGTACAGCCAGCTGTCTACAATAATTGTTATAAAAAAGGAAATATATATAATGGTTTTATTGAGTCCAGTTAGCAATTACCAATAATATAGATGAGGTGTGCTTATTGCTGTTAAATTGTTTAATTTGTTAATCAATAGCAGACAGATTAATTTTGAAAGAAAAATTTAATATCTTAAACTTTGATAAATTGCAGCACATTTCTCTTAAATCTTTGAGTTTGATTAAACTAAAAGACAAATATCCTCTGGTCTGCCAAGATGCAAGTTTCTTTTAAATCGCTGAGGTTTCCGATTAAATGTGAAACATAAATAACTCGTGCTTTTATTTCTAAATTGCTGTTTTTGTGAATTACAAAATTCTGAAACTGCACTTTCCATTTTCTTGAAATCAAACATAATAATTCTGAAACATTTCTGTAATTTGTTTTATCCAAAAAATATGTCAATCTTAATTCTATTTATATCATTATGGAAATTCAAAAGTGTTCAACTTTGTCATGTTCAAGTCATTTAGCAGTACTTTGGCTGCATTCGCTGCTTTTATTCTAAATTTCACATTTCTACAAACTTTCAGTTTGATTTACATATGTAAGCACATTTACATATGTAAGCACTTTTGCAAATAAGTTCGCACCAATATCACTAACAATGTCTTGTAAACTCTTCTTTTTTAGCAGAGATTACCATTTAGCCATAATTTTGAATTTGATAATAGACTACTTTCTTGAGCAAGGTCTGTTTCACGATTCCAGCTTCAATGTTTTTTTACAGTGACTTTAAATAAAAGAAACTTTTGTCTAAAATGTGTTTGGTCACCCTGCAAATTTTCCTATTCTCATTTGCTTCTGTTAATTCTGTATCCAAAACTTTCTCATCTTTTTTCTTTCTCTCACTCTGCGGTTTTACATTTTATGCAGATTTTAGGCAAAAACATTGCTGATATACTACTTCATTAGGTATTTCTGATTATGCAACTCCATCAAGTTAAAACTAATTTGTTTTCTTTCCAGAGGGGGGGGGAGAGAAACAATCATTCTATCAATGCAGCCTACTAAAATGCACTAAGCTTCTACATCATTCCAAAAGTGAACATAAGCATAAACTATTTGAGGTCTCTTTCATCCCTTCATTGTAAACTGAAAGTGAGTGATAAAAAATTTAAAAAGCAATTAAGTTTAATCATATTTACAATTTGCAATGCATTTTTAATCTGCTTTTAACTGTCTTTTTTAGAGGGTACACTTCTATCTCATTTTAATGGAATTTTAAATTAACAGCAAAACATGTGATCTGTTGTGCCATAAGAATTCCAATGTGATAATTTAAAAAAGAACAAGTTCTCAATTAGTATTCTAAAACTCAAGACATCAAGGAAAATGACAATAAATGATACCAAGAAATTTGAAAAGATTAAGTAACCAAAAATTTACAAATCAAAACAAGCAATTCTCAGATAGCACTTTTAACCCTTTGCGGCATCTAAAAAATTCCTTCTGTACACACAGAAAAATTGAATGAAAAGGGATTTATAGGTTACTCTGAAACTTCTTTATTTATACTAGATGGCAGCAAAACACAAACCAGTCCACATATTTTAGCCATGTTCAGTTTTTAAAGACTCTCACTTTTCAAAGAAATCTTCCAGATTCTTTTAGGATATAAAAAAAAATTGTTTGAAAATAAATTTCTATGTTTTTTTTCTTGGCTGTATGCTAATCTCCTTATTCTATATTAGTTTTAAATTTTTACCTTGAAATCTTGCCTAAAATCAAATGGCGAACACCTAGTGTGCTCAACAGTGGAATCACTGAAACACTAGGACCAGGCCTACAACTGTATCTTTGTTTCACTGCAATTCTCCAGTGAGCTCATTCACAATAGAAAGGTGGGTCCACATGTGTGTTTAATTTCCTGTTTTTCTTTTGGGGGGACGGAGAGAGAGGAGGCTTGGTTATCAACTAAGAAATTGCTGGGAAATTGTTTTTCTCTGGAGGTCAAAGGTAATTTTATTAGTCAGCTCTTTGGTTTTTGAGCAGTCTCTTTTTTCATTCACATTTGTTAGCTCTTCGTTAGTTTTGTTAGCTCTACGTTTTGATAGTTTTGAGTTGTAGATTTAACTTTATTTTATAGTTTATATTTTCTAATTGTAGATATAATATTAGTTTATTTTTTCTGATTTTTAATCATTCTGCAAATGGATTCGAGAGGGCTGACCATTTCTGAAGCACTGAAAGTGCTACATGAATTGCCTTCAGATAGCGAATCTGATACGGATCACTGTACATGTGCAAAACATACAATGTCAGGTTGTGCTTTTTCAAAGGTGGTGTCACTTTGTTTGAACAGTACCACCCTGAAAAATGATGGATATGTAAATAATGTAAATATCATATAGCATAATAACAAAAAAGTTAAATTTTTTATTCATTTATATGCATGTAATCATCATGCAACCAAGAAGAGCTTTTTTTGGCCTTGGGGAGGTGAAGTAGCAGGCCTCCCCATGTCACAGTCTGGGTAATGGTAAATCTGCTGCTATGGTAGTCAGAATCTAGAGTTTTTTTAATCGTAGGCAAAATCTTTTATTCTATTAGCGCTTCCCACCAATACTCGGTTCAGGACTCTTTTCGAAGTTCTATTCATTCAGTGAGCCCGCTCCAAGCACACTCACAGAATTAAAATGGTAAGTGGTATCTTTACAAAATTTTACCTGTGTACTTTTCTAGGCCTGATTAGACTGTCTACCATTCTTTTCTTTTAAATTCCAACTTTAAAAGGCAGCATGCCGGAAAGGATTAATGGTAATGTGTATTCCAACTCTCTGTTAACTAATATGCAAACGAGCATATTTTGGTGAAGTTTGATTTCTTCTGATTATTGTTCCTGTATTATTTTTAGGAAAAGTTTTTAATTGTCTAACTTTTAAGTTAACTTATCTACTATTCCCTATGTTATCAATCACAAATTCAAAGATATTAAAAAAATTAAATCAAAATTAACAGACCAGAATCATCTGCTTTTTCTGCTTCATTTTCATCACCCTCAGGGATCAAATCCATACTGACAGCACATCTGTAATAGTAAATTGAAAAAATACTAATTCAGCAATTAAATAAGGATTATGATAATGAACAATTTAGAGCTAAATGACTTAAAAAATGGCAAATAACAAAGAATAAGTATGCAAATATACAGCAGCTCACAAAAATGATCAGACACTTTGAATTTTTGTATTCTGTAATGAACATAAAAACTAAATTAAAACAAAAAGAAAGGCTTTTATTTGATTATATATAAATTAAAAATTTTTATGGTAAATACATTTTAAAAAAGATGAAAATTAAATTTAAAAGTCAATATTGTTTGTTTAATGAGGAAAAATATTCTCACAAAAATAGTCAGACACTTTTAGTAACAGCCAAAAAACGACAAAAACTTACAGTTTTTGCTTCTTAATATCTTGTGGGATTATATTTAATCTTTTGGGCAATGACTCCAAAGTTTATTTTTGTTGTTATTTCATGCGACTCCTCTTGAATCACTGCCTTCAACTGCTGCTGCGAAGACCTGCTCTGTTTTCAAATTTTCACTTCTAGTTCATCCCAAATATATTCAATAGGATTACGATTTGACAGTTGGGGTGGTGCCTTAATTACTTCTAGACACTTTATATAACAGCTACAGTATAATATGATGCACAATATGCTTTGAATCATTGTTCTGGTAGAATTTAAAACTATTTTGCATATTAAGTTTTTGTGCTGACAATGCCAAATTTCACTTCAAGATGATCAAAAATATGATCTATAAACTCTGCATTACCCAAACTGGAATGTGTCATAGATCTCCATACCATAACTCCTCCTCCACTGTCTTTAACACTTGATACTAAGTTTTTCTTCTGAAATTCTTCTTTGGGTTTTCTTCACATCAGCACTCATCCATCTGAGGCAAAGATGATAAATTTGCTTTCATCAGCAAACAAAACTTTTTCCCAATAGTCAGGTGTCTTTTGTTTCATCGATTTTGCAAGAGTGATTCGAAGTTTTCTTTTTTCTTTTTTTTCTGGGGGGGGGGGGGGACAACTGACATAGAATTTTTCTTCTTGCTGCTACTCACCCATGATATCCTTCCTGCAGATTATGTTACTCTTCTTGAAATTTTTAGATTTACATATATGCCATATAATTCAAGAAGTTTTGCTACAAGTTTAGAAACATCAGTCTTTGATTTTTTTTTAATTATTTCATCAGATAACTTAAATAGTCCTCCAAGTCTTCTTTTGTTTTGAATATGATTCTGTTTCTTATAATGCTTAATAATATCAAAAACTGTAAAATTACTTAGATTAAGTAAATAGGCAATTTTCTAATAAATTTTCCTTTGATGCAAATCAATAACTAATCTGTGGGTTTCTAACGATGTTTCCTTTTGTGACAAGAAAAGATTAAAATAATGAATATTTTCTAAAAAGAAAATTTTAATTATAAAAGCAAACGATATTTTAGATTTTTTGCCTAGCTTCTTTATCCAAACTAATTCCATAAAATTTCGTTTCTTATATATTGCAGACGATTTTAATTAGAAATAATGAAAATGTCTGATTGATTTTGTGGTATTTTCCCCCCATTTCAGCCTAAAACATTATTTTTTAAATTTACTATTCAATTTTTTAAAATTTATTTAGTACAAAGACAGAGCTATGAAAATATGTATTCAAAGGGAAAGTGTTCCTTATTATTTTATTTCACAAAATTTCACCCATTACTTAAAAAAAAAAAAAAAAAAAAAAAAAAAACTGTATTGGCTGATCATTTTTGTGAGACACTATATGTTTACCTACAACAGAACTACTCCTTCCTTTAAACCAACCAAGTCATATTACAAAGTGTATAAGAATCTGATGATCACAACTTGATGGGTAATAGAACATTGCAAAAACTGAGTAACTCTGATGAAAATAGGGAAGGAAAAGTTAGTTCAATCATGGATATTCACAAGAAATAATGTCTGACACTTAATACGAATTGTTCAAATAAACAACAACCAAATGCAAAGCATAATAGCTTCAAATGCTTTGAAAGATGTTCAGCATGTCACATACTTTCATAACAGGAGTGCTAATTCTGGCAAAAAGGTTTTTGAGAAGACATATATATATATATATATATATATATATATATATATATATAAAAGGTGTGACATGCAGACAAAAAAAGAGACTGATCCAATAAATCATTGAACGAGGTTTTTGGAAGGCCCTTTCAGAAGATTCTACGTTTTTGCCTGAAATCCTTAAGCTGAGGTAAAAAATGGGTTCCCCTTAAGCAAGATTTAACTTTAGGAAATTTTAAAAAAAAAGTTGAATGCAACCAAATCAGGTGAATAAGGAGGATGCTCCCCCACAGTAATGTTTTTGCTGGTCAGAAACTGCTTGAGAGGTGTGCGAGCAGGTGCATCGTCCTGGTGCAACAACCATCCATCACTCCACAATTGTGGCCTTTTTTTTTTTCCTAATTTTTTCAAGAAGTCTTTTTAATACTTCAATGTAGCAAAGTTGATTAACAATCTAACCACTGTGAACCCATTCAATCATGATGAACGTGCTGGGCACCCAAGGGGGCGACTAGTACATACATAATTTTTCCCACTTGTCCTTCCTCCTGAAAACCGTTTATGCCATTCAAACACACGTGCATGAGACGAAGTTTCATCTCCATAAGCCTTGGCTAACATTTTAAATGCTTCTCTCCGTGGCTGATTTCTTAAGTTTCACAGAAATTTGATGTTGATTCGCTGTTTGGTTTTTACATTTTCTGGCAAAATGCAGTTGCACGTGTTCACTCAATGATGCAGTACGCCCCACTGGCATGGTTGGCTAAATCAAAACTGGCCACATGGATTAGAGGAACTGTGTGTGGCATGACCTCACCAAAATAGTTGTTGCCAACTCCACACTGGAACTTCTGGTATCTTTGGAGTTTTCAGAACCTAATGTTTGGATAATTAAGATAAGGAAGGAGCAAGAAAAAGAAATTATGAAAAACTTAATCCTTCTTTCTCATTTCTTTTTTTTCTACTATTCTATTGTTTAATTAATGTAGAGAAGTACATAGTGCATCTGCGGACATGACTCTTAAGTTCAATATTCTGAGAAATTATTTCATTCAACAATTTTATTCCTTTTAGTAGATGAGTTCACATTTTTCTTTTACTATTACCCTTTTTAAGAACTTTTTATGCGCTTAGAAAAAGTGTTTACTTATTTGGAGTTTTTTAAAAACACTACACACAGCAGTTTTACTAGTACAAAGAAACTAAAATTTCAGCTAATGTTAAAATAAGTATTTGTATGATATGAAAGTTAAGTTTAATTCAAATTATTTAAAAATTTCACATTACTTCTCATTACCCTTTCTTCATTAGTTCCACTGCTATCCATACTAATTAAAAATTATTTTTCGAATTTCTTAGCAATTGCAAACAGAGTCATAGCTAGGGTTTTCAGCGCCCAGGGACAACTGAAGATTTCGTGCCCCCTACTGCTTGCCAAGGATGGAAAACATTTAATCCTAAAATGTCGTAACATCAGTTTGGCGCCTTTTGGATTCTGCGCCTGGGGACAGATGCCCCCTTTAGCAACGCCCCTGATCCCAAATGTGCTTCCATATTAATCTGTTTTACTAATTCAATACCACATGATTTTCATCATGTACTAATTTCTGCAAAAATGAAATCCTATTTATGTTTATAATATGGCTATTTCTTATGAAAAGAAACAAACTCTTTTAGCAGAAGCTGAAATGATGAAGATTTATTTTGATAAATATCGGAAATTTAGCAATCACATTAAGGTTGTAGAGATCACAATACAGGTAGCGCTGCAAGTAACGGTAACCACAATTCAATAACTTTTATGAAATTTCACTGACATCATGAAAAATAAAAGCATAAATTGAAGTCAAACATTCAAACTGGTATACACGAAATAGCTGCACATTCTCTATAACTGAAGGGAACAGAAGAAATGAAAAATATCAGAAGATTGCATTCTTACTCTGAACTTCCACTAGCTCTTCTTTTCTTTCCAGATGATTCATTACTAAATAACTTTTGAGATTTTTTAGCATCACTTTTGAGACCATCATATTTTTTTACCGTTGCTTGGTAATCAGAAAATGTTCGCACTCGATATATTCTGCTGCTTCTGTTCAACAACGCTGATTTAGCTGAAATATTTTTTACATGGTATTAAAGCATATGATCTGACAATGATCATTTAGAGTTTAAATTTACAAAATTTAATTTACATTAAAGTATCTTTATGTAATGACTGCATTTTATAGTATAAAAAGTAACATAAGCTTACTTCAAATTTTGAAGCTGAAATAAATCCAGTGAACCCCCTTAAGGCAACTATCTCTAAAAAATGAGCAGTTCTAATAACATAATTAAATATCAGTAATGGTGATCATTATAAAAGGAATCATTGTTGACCCAGATGATATCATCAAACAATTCGTTATGCCAAACACCAAAATATGTAATATATTTTAATAATATCAAGTTTTAATGAAAGTCTCCTGTTACCGCAAACATCATATCTGCCCTGCAAACATTTCGCGTAGGTGTCTTTAATTATATTTCGTCAAACAATTTTCGGCATTTGAAAGAAAGTTGCTTTAGAACACTGTGTTGTGAAATTTGAAAAAAAAAAAAAAAAAATTATCATTAAGTATAAATTGTCTGAAATAGAACTAAAATGCTACCAGATTAGAACCGCCATTTACTTCCAATTCTGCAATGCCAGCAACAGAATGTCACCAAATCATGTGTACAGATTTAGGTACTAATGTTGTATCATATGACATATCATATATGTGAAGGTTTGGTACCAAAAGTTCAGAAGCAAAGTCTATGAAATTTAAGAAGAGCGCTCTGGTTGGCCTACTGATGTTGATGAGGCCCATCTGTGAGAACTTCTGGAAGAAGATCAGTATACAACCACTCGAAACCTTGTTAAGGATTTGCGATGTCAATTAGTCAGGCTATGCTTTGCTTAAACTTGACATACAAGCTCAATCGCTATGTGCCACATGAGCTGACTCAAGCAGATAAGGACAAATGTGTTCTGGCCTGTACTAATCTGCTCAAATATCAAAATAAGGACAAAATTATTGACCAGATTGTTACTTGTGATGAAAAGTGGATTTACTTCAACAACACAGGCAGAAAAGGTGGTTTGTCTATGCCTGGTAAGCATGTCAACAGCATCGCAAAGGGCAATTAGACTAACATGCTTTGTTTCTGATAGGAATGCTGTGGTATTATCCACAAAGAGTATCTGGAAAAAGGTAAAACTCTCAACAGTAAGGTGCACAGCGAGATGCTAGTATGTGTTGACGCTGCTATCAAGAAAAAACGTCGAACTGAGTTCTAGCGAGAAAGGTAATATTCCATCAAGAAAATGCAAGACCACATGTCTGCATTCACCTGCTGGACTCGATACAGACTCAAATGGGATCTTTTACCACACCCACCATATAGCCCCAACATTGCTCCACCTTTTTCCACACCTGCAGCTACACCTTGCTGGTGTGCTATATTCTATTCTGCACAGCATGTCCGAAATGGGGTTGATCTATTTTTGGACTTGCAGCCATCAAGTTTCTGGGCTGAAAGCTTTGCAAAACTACCAAAACTTTGGCAGAAAATCATAGATTTGGGCGGTGATTATTACCTGCACTAAAGGTACTGCTTTCATGTTTTTTTTCCCCTACCTTTATAAAGAATTTTTTTTGGGGGGGGGGCTTAAAACATTCATCACAACCAGATAAAATGTAAAATATTTACAGTGTTACACAAATTTAGAAATTTATCTAAAACAGAATTTTATTTAAGAAAAATAAAAAAAAAAAGTTTTTGTATGTCTGTGAAACATTAATGTTATCCTTCTCTAATTGTGATGTAATTTATAACCTCCACTGTAATACAACACTCTTTAAATAAATTATTACATTACTATATTATTTACACTAATTCCTTTACTTCTTTTCTCCACATTTGGTAAATTAAAATAAATCATGTGGCACCAAAGTTCCAGACAACCCATTTTTGATTGTGATCTTTTAAAAATCAGCCACCTTTATTTTGAAGTTGAGTATGGAATAAATACTTGAAATTTTAAATATGTATGCAATATAAGAATACATTTTTAATTTAAATTTTAAATAGCATAAACATTAAGTGATTAAATATAGATTATCTTACACTAAAATGAAAGAAGCATTATATATAGAAATATGATTCAAATTTATTAAAGATGATGCTGGTGGTCTGTCATAAAGGAAGTTTTTTAAGGGGTGGGGAGAAAAATGAAAAGTGCAATAGACAAATGATATAAAATGCTTGATTTATTATTTTAACAAGTTCTTTAAAAAAAAAATAAATAAATAAAGGGGACAAGTAGCCAAATTTCATTGAATGAATATTTTAATAAATTCACTGAATACTTTTTTAAATCACTAAATCATATTTATAATATAAGTTTTTGTGGATTTTTTGCTTCATAAAATATCTATCATTTTAAATAATAAAATTTACAGTATTTCAGAAAATTCAGTACAAGATAAATTTTCCCTAATTCTTTTATGACCTTATTCACAATTTACCTCTGTGACCAATTTGTAATTTTTAACAGATTCCAAAAAGCTTTCAGCAAGATAAATTCATTAATAATCATTATAACTGACAGCTATCTTCATTTAGATATATCCCTCTGCAAAAGACCAAAACTATATCTGGTAATATCTGGCTTAAGAGAAGGTTCACTGTAAAATGAAAACTAAAACAGACATTCACCTCTATTTCTGAATGCTTTCCATTACAAATATTAATTTAAGAAATAAATCATTGCTTAGAAAATACAGGCCATAAAATTTAATTTCTTTTTATAATAATTTTTTTACTTCCAACCCTTCCAAATGATATGACTTTTTTTATGGAATTTATTTCAACTGTTTGTAATACATAAAATCTCATTTTTTTAAATGATTTGTCATCATATTCCCTCTAATGAACTAAAAATAATTCTCATGATCTAACATTATGAAAACAAAGCAAATTATTATATAAATCATAAAAATAAGATGTTATCCATATCTTCAAAACTTCTAAAAAAGAATCTAAAAAGAGATCTGACAAATAAAAGTGTTAAACAAAGATGGCTATGTTTTACTTTTTTTAATTTTAAATCATGAAGATAAGATTTTTGTAATAATCAATTTTCCTTCTTGCCAGGCATAAAAATTGATAAATTATGAAATGATTTGCATGCAAGATTTTGTTTCTCAATTATGTGGTGTATTTCTTGAAGTTAGAAATTTTAAATAAAACAATAACTGATAACTCATACTTTAATCAATTATGCTTAAAATGTTTTTCATAAAATTCTAGCATTTAAAACTTAGACATAAAAAGCTTGTTTTCCGTATGATGGGATGATAAACTTCATAATTAAAATATATTAATAAATTTGACAATGAAGTTATACAAACTAATTTTTAATTACACTATTATAATTCCTATATTATTTTAGTATTATGTAAAATTTATCCATAATATCTGAGGGGGCAGTCTGCAAAATATTTCCCCCCCCCCTTAACCTTAAAAACCAGTTAGATTTTAGAGTTCTCTCTGCCAATCAAATAACTTGACTAACTATAAATAATGTATATTTTTGTGTATAAGCTGAAAATTTTTGGAACTTTTCTTAAAGCTAAATTACAGGGGTTAGCTTAGATATATGGATCCATTTATCCTGCACAAAAAGTAGTTACTTTTCCATTAGCCAGGCAGAAGTGGTAAACTGCCAAGTTACTACTTTTTATTTCTTTAGTCTATACAGTATAAAGTCCATAATCCGGATGTCCATTATCCGGAATGATCTATAATTCGGAGCCACAAACTTTTTTTGTATGCTTTACGCATGTGCGTAATGCGTTTACGCATGTGCATTGGGAGGATGTGTCTGCAGATATGTTAAAAAATGCTTGGCATAATTTATGGCCAGCTACCATATTTCATGGTGAGGACGATGAAGATGATAGCCACGATTTTGAAGGTTTTCAGACATAGAAAACTAAAGGTGAAATTTTCCAGTTATTGGATTTTGTAAAGAAATGTGGAGAAGCGGTAATAAATGAAAATGATATAACAGAAATTGTTCATTGTGACGACAATGCCCCAATCATCAATCAATTAACGGGACGGCAAAATCTGTAGTATGTTTCCAGATCCAGAAAATACCTCTTATGATAGTAAAGAAAGTGACAGAGAGAGGTTATTGGAAACAAAAAAATTTCAATTGACAAATTAGTTGGTATTCTCGACACAATTACAGGACTTGAACAGTGAAACTTTGTAACTGAACAAGAAATTATGTCTGTTTATAGAATTAAAGAGAAAGTATTAGCACAAAAAAACGAAGCAATTTAAACAACTTGTATTGAAAGAAATGTTTAATAAAGTAAACAAATAAATATTAAGCTCTTTTTTTTTTGTGTGTGTGTAAATTTTGATATCCTTTAGATCATAATTGCTCTTTATTTCATAAATTACGGTTTCATATTTTTAACTGTATAATTTCTGCATGCCATCTTACCAGATTAAATTGATGATCAATAATCTGGAAAAAACTCTAATCCAGAATTGCTGAAGTCCCATCGAGTCCGGATTACGGACTTTGTATTGTATTTCTGAAGTTAATGAAAAATAATTTTAAATGGAATGAGTCGTACTTATGTATTATCCCACTGCCTGTGAAAATTCACTACTATCAAACCATGAGAATTAGTGGTATCCCACTAAAATTGTGCCAATAATTTTTGTAAAATTCTGAAGGAACAGATGTCTCTTTATTTAATAAACAATAAGTATTCAATCTGATTTGCTTTTGAGCTCTCATCAATTTCTACTATTTTGTTAGGCTTTCCGATTTTACTGGAAGCTTTGTTTAGAAAGCTATGAGTAAATTTTCTGTAGTTAATTGTTCCAGTCTGTGACTATTTTGTCAGCTATATTCAGCTGACCATATCACGTCCTTTGATAACCACTTTTTTATGGCAAGATCTCCTATGAAGAAGGGAAGCAGCAAATTCCTATCCCTTCCCCCTTTTTTTAAATGCATGAAAAAAATAATAGTTAATTTATAGTTTTGTTCATGAAAATAAAACATAGCTTATCAAGAATCAATAGAGATTACATTGAACAAAAGTGCAGGTTATTGTTATGTAGCGTCTACCCATAACTGGCACCATATTGTGCTGCTTGACAACAGTTTCACAGTCGACAGGATAATGCATACGTACCGAATGAGTTGTTCGTTTTGTGAAAATGAATTGTTTTAATTCAAAACTTTTGACATTGCTGGTTTGTTGTGCCACTGTCAAAATGAAAAACCTGATGTTGATGAAATTCTCAACCAGCTAATGGAAAAGGATACTACCTTTTTGGATTTTGGCATCCTCACTAATTCAAGAAGTTTTTCCTCTCCACTCTCAAACTTGTTTTTTATTTAGAAGAAAAGCTGTCCAGCCACACCGTTGTTAGAATTTTTAGCAAAGGTGATTGTATGTAGTTTGAAATCAACTGCATAAGAATATCTCTTGCACTGAGAAAAAATATAATGGCACAGTTACTAAAGATTGTACACAAGACAAAAAATGAATGGGAAAAGTGTGCTAGGTTCAGATAGGGTTAAGAGAGTTAAAACTTATCTGCCTTGTCTTTTGGCATTTTACTTGAAAGTAATTTGAATGAATAATATTCCCCTCCTTTAACCTTCTTGGTAACATTTTCACTTTCATTGCAATATGTTTGAATGGTACAGGGCTACTTTATTATTATTATTTTGGCTTATGTGTTTTGAAATTTGGATGAATTTTTGAAGAAAAAACACACTCTTTGCTTATAATCAGAAATATATGGTACTCCTTCATTTCCCATACTGCTTTAGCCATCACCAATAGTGTTATATAATATACTAACATAATTGCTTAACTAATTTGCTTCCTTAATGGATATAAATATATTTCTGAATGAAAAAATTCAAGAATCAATAAAAAGTAAGTCTTCTGTCTTCCATTCTGCTCAATAAGCTATTAGCTACTTGCTACAAAAACATAACTGAGCTTGTTTTGGAATTTGTTAATTAGCCAAATGTACAAGCATATACTGTTATATCCTCTATATTTTGTTATAATTTAAGCAACTCTCCTAACCCACTCTTAAATATACTTCAATGAAAAAGAAATCACAAAATCTGCAAAGGCATCTTCATTTGAAAAAAATTTCCAGCAGCAACATTTATTATTTACACAATATGCTATGCAGACGCATAAATTTGGATTGATTGGGTTACATGGTAAAACAGACTATGCCAGCCTACCACACAAGATGCCTTCAAGAAGTATTTTCCCAAGGACAACTTGGCTGACAAATGACTCTGATAAATAAACATTGAATTGGTCGCAACTTACATCAGATATTAAAAATTTAAAAAAATTTATTACTATTACAAAAATAGATAAAGCAAATAATAACTTTAGCATTATATGAAAACAATTCTACATAGAAATTATTCATAAAGAACTTTCCAATGCAACTACTTATCAATTAGCAAACCTTACAGAAACATCTATAATAAACAGGATTAAAACTTTTCATAAGAAACTCAATATTACTTTCAATGCAAACTACAACAGATTTACTAATCTTTATGCGATTCCCAAATTCCATAAAACACCATTAAAATTCAGATTTATTAGCTAATGGAACTAATAATTACAAGAAAAAATGTAGACTATTATTTTTCAATTCAACTTAAAAAAATCTGTAAATTTATTTTCAATGATTGTAACACTAATCATAACTATTGCTGGATCATTCATAATAACACTCCTGTCATTAATACCATTCAAACCAATTAACATCCAAAACATTAACTGCTATGACTTTGAAAACTTATATACCTCACTTCCTCTAGAAGAAATCTATACCAGTCTACTTGATCTAACTAAACTCTTCCCTGATATGCTCAATTATGACTCTTGACAAATGGAAAACCTACCTAAAATGCACACTTTTTCATAACTACATCAAGTTTCAAAATCAAACTTTTTAAACAAGTCAGAGGATTGCTTACATTCCAGCACCTCGATCTGTAATATCTTTTTATTTGTCAAAGAATTTAACTTCCAAAAAAAATCTACAACCACAAGAGTTAAATTACTACAAACACACCTACAGATATATTGATGACCTTATTACAATTAATAATTTTAATAAAATTGAACACTCCGAGATTTATCCGAATTGTCTTACACTTAATAAAACTAATAATTCACAAAATAGCATAGACTTTCTAGAGATCTTAACAAAAAAAAAAAAAAAAAAAAAAAAAAATTTTACTTTTTGACAAAACAAGAAACTTCAATTTCAATACTAACAAATTAATAAATTGGAACTCCAACATATCCAAAAAAGTAATTAACAATACTATAATTAATCAAATACAACGAATTAAAAATATATGCACAGATACAATAGATTTACAACGCGAAATTTTGCTCCTTATTAAAATTCTCAAAAATAATCTAATACCCATTCAATTTATCAACCATTGCCTTAAAAGAGCAGGCGTTAAATACTCACTCTAAATCATTTAACTGATAGGGATATGATAATTTGTTCCTAAACTGAGAAGGCGGTATAAGTTGGATGACTATCAGTTGAAGGATTTGTATATAGTGTAATTACTCAATTGTATATATTGTAAAAAGCTAATTGTCTTCAGACTTATGTACTGTTACTAAAAAAATGGGCCTATTTCATGATGCCTTTAGTCTGTCTAATAGCTCTTGGACAGTGAAAATTCCTTTTTCCTTTCTTAAATTCTTAATCATTGCGACACGACAATTAGCCAGAAATTAATTAATTTCCATTCACTAGTATTTTCAAAAATTCTTAACAGACAGTTCTCCCTCAAATAAGAACTCCACAAATACATCCCTCAAGAATTCCGAGTCCAACCCACTACCATAAATTACTTCACCCAAGTCTTACCGACTGATATTATTCAAAGCCCCTACTGCCGCTAAGAATTTTCGGACACCCAACACTTCTGAGTCAGACACGAAGAGAACACTTTGCCAACTCCCCCACTAGAAAGAATGTAAGTTACTTAATACCTTTTCTGGCCTTTATATCTTCATGTACATTCACTGTTTTTATATATTATTTTTAACATTTTTATATTATTTTTATTTCTTTGATTTGTTTTTACAAAGTTTGCATTATTTATCTTATATTTGTAATCTTCTATGTTTATTTCAACTTTACTTTGAATTCGATTTCATAATGACAATTTCCAATGTTTAATTTTTTTAAAATAATATAGAACTCAAATGCATAAACATGAAGGTGTCGGGGACGGTTACTCGGGTTATTTATCGGATTTTCTACATAAATTGCTTTTTACTCAAAATTGAATTGACTAAAATGCTTCATAAGAATAAGTTCTTTGGTGCTATAAGCATTGGTTCATAATCCCTTCTATTCGCGGAAATATTTGGCCTATTTGACTAGAATTGCCGGTTTGGCTTTAACTTATTACTAACTCGAGTAAAGACGAAACACCTTCGTATTTACGTATTTTATCAATTATTGTTCATTGAACGGGAGTTGGTTTGTTCCCCTTGAAAAGTCAACTAATTTCCGATCAATGACAATGATTACATGTTAATTTAATTACTTGCTTTTAATTTTTCTTTTACAATTGAAATTTTATTCTTCATGATTTAATTCAGTCCCCATTAAACATTTTTAACAATTTACTTTCAAATTACTTCAAAAACATCTTTCGAAATATAACTTACAGTATGGATTCACTCTTTTAAAATAATTCTACTTTAATTAAACTTAGGAGATAATATAATCAATATTTCTTTAGTAAATAACAATTCTTTTGAAAACAGGACGCAAACATGGCGCAAACATAGTATTTTCACGCATTACGTTACAGAAAAATTATCATTAAAGACATAAAGAAAGAAATTTAGAACTAATATTTCACAAAGACCAGAAATTGAAATTCATAATTAATAAATTTCAAATAATCATATAAATGCAACAAAGAATTTTACTAAATTTCTTTATGTCTTTAATTATATATATATATATAATGTGAAGTTGATTATGAACAGACTGTCAGAAAAATTCTTATTATACGATGTTCAAGACATAGAATTTCTAAATGTTTATCAATTGAAAAAAAGAAAACATAACTAGTAAATATTTGATGAAAATAAACCTTAATAATTTTGGTTGCTCACTGTATGAATAAGAATGCTTAACGTACCACTGATTGTATGCTCCTCACTCCGTAATGCTACTAAGGCTGATACATCATCCAACCAGTTTACATATATGTTTCCTAAGAGTAAATATATATTAATATAACACAAAAAATTAAATTTCATTAATTAAGGAATTTAGAAGATTTACATTTTAAATTAAATCTCTGAAATAAGTGAGATCAGAGTTCGTACATATTTCTGCACACTGAAATTAAGTACCATTAAGAACCATTAATGAAAAAAAGTTAAGGACCTATGAGAAAATGGGAACTGAATTTTATGCAATTTATCAAGTGGTATTAAATATTTTACACTTATAATAGTTGGACAAATTTGAAAGAAGATAAGTGACATTTAGGTTTTACTAACAGTTAGCTTTATGTTGATCTTTTTATGTCTCATTTTGTCACATACTTGGTCAATCTAGAGGTTTAGTAAATAGCAGGCAGATTTTATGTCACACAGCATATGTTAAAATGAGAAGTAAGATCATAATCAGCATGATTCATAACAAGAGACTAATGTTGACACTGCTGCTGCTTGTCTAGAGAGAGACCTGCTGATCAGAACAAACCTGAAAGGCCTGATGTAGACATGGTTGGCAAGGTTGAAAGTTAGACCGGCTCTGTTTGATGCAGTTAGTGTCGTAGCTTCATGTAGAGTTCCAGGGGTTGCAACAAAGTTAATATGCTTTAGGCTTCCAATAAGCCATTAAAGCACCAGAGGTGATAAGTTATTTTGTATTATTTTAAGTCTCACTAGATGCAAAGAATAAGTTTTACCTGAATTTTTACATTTTTGTACTTTATCTTGTGACAACATAGAGTATTAATGAAAGGCAATAATTCATTTAAATACGCAGAGTTAATTTTATGGATTGTAGAGTCATTGGGTATTTTTTCGAAGCAGGCAAGATGAAAAATATGCAACGCCTTCGCCAGGAATCAAACCACGGACCTCTCAATTACGCGCTGAGCGTGCAGACCATCACACCACGAAGGCGTGCCAAGAAAGGAGAAATACCTTATATATTCTCCCTTTTAAAAGGCGACTGGGTTTTTAGGGAACGCCATCGGCAAATCCTGGGTGAAGAGAATCATCATCCAATACCCTTTTAGTTCGGGAGCCACGGTAGAGACATTAGGTATTTTTTAGAATTAGGCAAGATGAAAAATATGCAATGCTTTTGCCGGGAATCGAACCACGGACCTCTCAATTATGTGCTGAGCATGCAGACCACCACACCACGAAGGCATGCCAAGAAAAAAATAAGGGAGAAATACCTTATAAGATAAGCAGTTAGTTGTAAATAATTAAATTAGGTAGTTAGGTAGCCTTACTCATTATGGATATACATGGCCACTATTAATTTTTTTTAAACAATATCTGTTAAAAAGTCCTATTAAAATCAAAATCTAATAAAATTAACAGTTTAAAATACATATGTCAATGCGACGTGTCAAAGACATGCGTCAACGCGATGCATGCGCAGAAAGTTTGTAGCTTTGAGGTCCGGATTATAGATCATTCCGGATTATGGGTGTCCAAATTAACGACTTTTGACTGTAGTTCAAAACCCCGACATATGAAGCAAATTATCGCTATGACTGAAAGTAACTATAATTTCAAACAAAGGTTTAAATAAGCCTCTTATTTAAAAAGAACTTGGAATATAAGGGGCATGCTCTGATGCTAATAAAATCAATTACAGCTCACGGTGACATAATTAAAAAAGAACAGTCAAATTCAAACTAAAAATGTAGACTAGTGGTCAAAGATTATACAATTTAATTTTAATTTAATCTGGCTCAGTAACTGTATCATATGAGGAAACAGAAATGGGAAATTACAGTAAGGGCTGAAATCATAAACAATTGGGTAATTTACATAATAATAATTACACATATCTTTGAAGAATAATTTTCTTTATATATTCAGTTCTTTCTTCAACAAGTTTCCTTTTCATTTTAGAATTTTAGGATTTAATTAAGTTTTTTCTTTTTTTGGGGGGGGGAGGGGTTATACTAAAGCTGCTAATTTTATTTCTTTCGTAATATGAAAATTCAGAAGAAATACGAAATATATATAATAAAGACCAGTTACAGGGCTGGTGTGGCAGAATTTTATGGATTTAGCGACACACCAAGCTACAAAATGTAGAAATGGCAAAACATTTAGAATTTAGAGCAGACATTGGAAGCTGAATTTAGAAAGGCACTAGGCAGCAGAATTTAGGATCTACAAAGATTGCATCATGTGGGAAAATGCCTAGTGCCAGCTCTGTGTATGATGCATTAAGACATATTAGATGAATCTTTTAAATTGTAAGTTTTCAATTTCTTTACTAATAAAAAAATCCCTTTCTATAATGCCTGCCCATGTGATAAGATTTGAAGCATTTTTGATATTTTCTATGCTTGTGTCTAGTAAAAACTAGAGAAAATAAAGGGAAGATAAGCATGTTAAGAAAAAGATTCTAGTATCAGAGGTAAAACATTCAAATATTATATTTCCATTGTTCTTTCAGACATTCTCCAAAAAGTAAGAAATTCATCGCAAACTTTCTGTAAAATGCATCCATAATGTGTTGATACTATGGAGACGTTTTTCCTTTTTCACATAGTTCTCAAATTTTCTAGAATCATGGGTTTATAAATCTTGCTTTCAAATCCTTCTAAACTTTCCAAGGTGCAATGTCCAAAATCCTAAAGAAAAATTATCCCTCCCAATTCTCTAACAGCAAAAAGCCGAAAATATTTTGGAAGAAAAAAAAAAAAAAAAAAAAAAAAAAAAAAGAAGAAGAGAAAAAGTGTAAAATTAATTCTATAGAGTAAACTGATGCACACTCTGAGAATTTTGAATATTCTGAGACATTTACATGGGAAAAACTCTTACTATGAAAAAATTAAAAAGAAGACATTTTTAATTAATTACATAGCTAATTTTGCTTTTGCTAAGAGCTGTTTCGTAAATTGTGCTTTATAACATTATACCTTGTTTATTTTTCAGATTCAAAATATTGTATAATAAGTTGCCAAAATGAAACTTTATAATATGACAGCAAAAAATAAAAATGTTTTATTTTAATGTTATTTTTAAATATAATTTCAATATATTACCATTATTTTAATGAAATTTACGATGTTTAATAAAAAATGTCAAAAAATTCTCTCTTGGAATAAAAATTTTTTTATAGAAACTGATCTTAAAATTGCCAAAATACTGATAAGTTGCCAAATTTAGAAGCATTTAATAAAAGAATTCACAGCATCAAAGCAAAAAGTTATTTAAGAGATCTTTATTGGAAAAAATGAATTTCGAAATGCTTATGTTTCACTTCTTGCTTAGAAACTCTAGTATTCCATCATTTATATTAGAAATAGAAACAAATTATAACCCATTCAAAAGATAACAATGCATGTCAGTGAATTGCCAAAAATATTCCTCCAAAATGCTAATTCATACTCAAAATGACAGTTGTAAAGACAGACAGAAATTTCAGATGATTAAAATTAAGGACCTTCTGCTGATTTTGGCCAAAATTAAGAACTTTTAAAGACCAAAAATTGATTCCAAAAAATCTAAGGTCTCTTAAGGACCGTATGAACTCTGGTGATTATTAGTTTGATTTGGAAAAAATAAATACAATAAAATTTAAGAAAGAAATGTATAAATAATGTAAGTAAGTGAAACACTAAAATACATTTTTGAGACTGTCAATCAAAAACACTAGCATCACAGTTATAACATAACAGCATAAATGCTAATAAAACAATCTTACTCAATTGAGCAGAAAACTTTATCAATTCATTTTTACAATTTAAATTACATGATATAAATATTTATTGAAAAAAAAAAGGCGTTTGCTTGAATTTAACTTTGTTATTTCCAGGAGCTTTCTTCAGTAGGAAACTGGCATTGGCAGTGATCTGTCTGATATCCCCCTTTTCTCTAGGAATAAAACCTCATTACTGATTACTTACTTATTACTCATGTGATAGTTTCAAAACTGTTGCCAGGAAGGATATTGACAGTAAATAAACTGCCGCATACAAAAGGATTGAATGTGTTGCAAAGACACCAAAAATTTAGAATGTGGCTGTAACAGGAAAAGCAAGATTTTTTTTTTTTTTTTTTTTTTTTTTTTTTGCAAGTACATACTATTTTGACTAACTCCAAGTGACTAAAACTCCTGGTTGGAATAAGATATATGTACCAGATTTTGAATAATTATACAACCATACAAACACGCACACACAAAAAGAAACTTACCATACGGTAGGAAAAGCTCAACTAAATCAACTGTTTTCCATTCCTCAGGAAAACTCACATAAAACACATTATCCCTTTTAGGTTCAGCTAAAAATACCAAATTTGTAAAATAATTAAATTAAACATAATCAGACAATATTACTATATTTCAAAACAGGAATTATAATACAATATGCATAAGTTTAATTTCTAAAATTCAATCTAATTAGATGCAATTACTTTTATCTTCCTTTATTAGAACTAAAAAAATATACTCAGAACACAGATTAAATATGGGAATGTATAAAATAAATAATTATTTCATTCCCTGTTAAAGTAATTAACAAATCCAACTTTCTTTAGTAATATATCATATAAGAACACAAAATAAAACTAAATGCAAATATTAACTAATTAAACACTGAAATTTCATAAAAAGTTCCACAAATGATTAAGGCATTAGATTAAGGCAATTCAGATTAAATAAAATTTGTTAAAGAAAATTATGCTGAAAATCACTAAGGGCAGTGGAATAGAATTGCACAATTTAAGTTTCATTTACTGGTGAGAAATATCTTCTTTAGTAAATGCTAAAAATAAAAATCCAAGAAATTTTGAAATCAAGACCAGGAAATGCAATGAAAAACTGGAAACGTTGGTAGCTATGTGATTAGTTACAAAAGTTTTTCCAGAGCCATTAAGGCGCTGCTATTAAGTTAAATACTGAAAAAATAACCATAAGAGTACATTTTTATTCATTTTCAACAAAAAAATTCAATCATTTTCAACAAAAAATAAATAAATAAATAAATAAATAAAATAAAATAAATAAATAAATAAATAAATAAATAAATAAAAATAAAAAATCTAAAGAAGGGGTCAGATTTCAAATTTAAATGATTATTACTTTTGAAGTCACTATATTTTTCTATCACTGAACTATTTTTGCTTACTCTTTACGTGTCAATAAATTAACTCCAAAAAGAAAACAAAGGGATGGCTTCTTATTGTTATTTTCAGTTCTAAACAATCATGCACACTCATAAATATGATAGCGCTTCCATGAAGTTTTAATACTGAATGCATTAGAACAAAGAGAGGAATTTGTAAGAAAAATCACTAACTGCTTTTCTTCTCTGTACACTTTGTCTAATACTATACATATATAGTATAGTATAGTATAGTTTATAGAGCTTCCTGATGCCTTTATAGAAGTCAAGTACAGTACAAAGTTTGTAATCCGGACTCAGCGGGACTTCGGCGATTCCGGAAAAAGGGTATCAAATTTTACACACACAAAAAAAAAGCTTAATACTTATTTGTTTACTTTATTAAACATTTCTTTTAACACGCGCATGCGTAATGTATGCGCATTCTTTACGCATGTGCGTAAAGTTTGTGGCTTTGAGGTCCGGATTGTAGAACATTCTGGATAATGGACGTCCAGATTATGGACTTTGTACTGTATTAGAATGTTCATTAATTTATTCATTACATGTTTCAGGACTTTTTAAAAGCTCTTAGAACAGCAGCTTTTAAAACAAAATTTCTTTTTAGAGTACTGAGAGTAATCTGCAAGTACCAAACTGAGCACGTGGAGTAAAAGCCATCACAAAATTGGGGGGGGGGCAATAAAGTGCTTTATTATAACTGTACTTTGAGAAACGAATCTGATCATTTTTTGCTGCTCTGTCTTTGAATCCACGATAGCAGACAATTACTTCACAAAATCAAACAAAAAATTCTGTTTAAATGTTCACCAATGAACTGATATTTTAAAGCTTAGTTTCTGCAGCTTTTTTTTAGTTTACTGCCCTATTTCTAATTCCCCCTTCAGAATCTTGTACCTCTGAAACAATTACAGATAGATACATGTGAAGATTAACTAAAATGCTTAGAATCTTTTAGGGTTCTTTTCACTTCATAAAATAATTAATCAAAAGTCCTATGCAATACGGAAACATAACAGTAATAATTAAAACACATATTGAAGCATTTATAGAACATATTTGAAAAAATTTTTTTATTGAAATTGAGGGTGATCAGACACAGGCATAAAACATTTTTGAAAAAAAAAGGGGGGGGAAGAAGCATCACCAATTTTACATCAAAAGCAATAGACAGAGCAAAGCAAAATTGAACACAGTGCCGTCTGCAAAAGAAAATACTACTAAAAATACTAATGACTAAAATATTAGAATTTTGAGAGTATTATAAAGAACTGATTCACTAAATATGATAATTTTTTCTAAATACATTAAGCCAATCGAGTTCTTCCTAACACTTTTAGAATTCTACACCTTATTTTTCCTTATAAACACATTACAATTTTCCTTGGCACATGGCGCTACCTTTTATTTTGCTTCAGCTATCACTTTTCATATAAAATATTTGTTGCTTCTTTCATTTTCTTACTCCTGGGAAACAAGAATTTATATCTGATCACCCTCAAAGTTGATGCAGTATCATTCAAAATTTATAATGAACTGCAGCTGCTTTTTTGCAATTTTAAATTTTACATTAGCATGCTTCTCTTCCAGTTTGTTTTACAGACTTGTATAAGCATGCACATATTCGATATCACTGAATGGAGGTATTGAATATTAGTGGTCATGTTTTTCAAATATCAGAATGACAGCTGATAATTATATTTTCTCGGAATAAAAAAAATAAAGCTAATATAATAAATAAAGCCCAATATAAATAAAGATTGATCCATCAACATGATTTAAAACGATTCTTGTAGAGATGCATGACTGAATATTTGTTTCATAAAAGTGCCTTTTTCAAAATTTTTTTAGGCAACCAAATTTTGAGCATGTTTTTTTGGCCACCTGACTTTACAATATATTCCTATGACCCTTAGACAAGTAACACTATCTAGATTTCATAGCTTAGTGGTGGATAATACTAAAACTGAAAAATTATCTTTTAAAGGAAGTGTATTCAGATGTAATAACCATGTAATAATTTGCCATATGACAAAACATCTTATGGGCAACCCTTTTTTTACGCATCTGATTTGCCTGTTATGTGTAAACTAAAATTTGGAAATGAGATGCACATATGTAATGCCATCTTATTTCCAGAGTTTTAGTTTTTGACTACCTTGTATATTATTTACTTTTTCTGTTTTTAGATGGTGTTACCTGACTATAAGAACAAGTCTGCAGTTTTACTTAAAATTTTCAATTATCATTCTATGAAAACACGCATATACACCAATCCTCCGTAAAAATTCCTGAAAGCTTTCAATTCAGATTTTACATTACACCCAAAGGGACTTTTTTAAATTTTTTGTGGGTTACCTTTATTAAATATCATGTTCTTCGCACTTAAACCATAAAATTCTGCTCAACAGCAATATCGCAAAATAATTTTAAAACGAGCATATCTTTAGAATTTTCAATATACAGTCTCGCACTTTGGAGAAAAATGTTTTCCTTTTTTCCGTACAGTATTACCATTGCTCGCTTTGAAATCGTTGAGTTTGTTAATAAAAAAATTGTTAAAGTTTAACAAAATATGAAATAGATAATAAAACAAATTCCAAATTTGGGCTTCCAGATACCCATATTCAGATGGAAATTCAAAATTTGATGCTCTAGGTACCATCATTTTACGACAATGTGAGAAACAAACACACATTTACGCAGATTCTTCATTATTTAATTTCTTTAAATATAATACAGAGCTGTAATATTTGGTGGCAAAAGACTAAAAAGTGAACCAACATTTGAAGTTTTTGACACAAAATGCCGAAATGAAATTAGCAGCCCTTCTGGGCTGATGTAATTTGGTCTAAAAAACCCACAGCCAAACCACAGCTCTCATTTACACCCATCTTTCATTCAAGCCAGTATATAAAGTATTCAAGAAAAATTTGTGCTGCAGGAGTGAAAAGCGGAATTTAAACAGTAAGTGATGGCAACCCCACCGAGATGACCTCAGATGTTAACATTCCTGTCAGTCATCGGTCAGTGCAGAACTGTAATACGTGTTGGTTGTATTAAAAGCAGTTCTATAGTAACTACATTTTTGAAGTGAACCATGTCAGTGTTAAAGGATGTTTTACATGCATATTTACTTTATCAGTTCAAATCGGCAACAAAGCTGCAAAAGCTACTTAAAAATTATGCTCTGCATTTGGAGAGGCATGAGTGAGTAAGCACACAGCACAAAAGTCATTCAGTTGATTTGCATCTGGAGACAGGGCAAGCCCAGAACTGGGCATCCATCAATTATTGACAAAGCCCTGTTGAAGGAGGGCATTGAGCATAATCTACATAAAAAATTCAAGGAACTAGCACAATGGTTTAGAGCATTGGAGGAAATCATTTGATTATAAATGTATAACCTTGGGAAGACATGGAAACTCAGTAAGTGGGTTTCTCACTTTTTAACCTAGGAAATCAAGCTCTAAGGACTCATCATTTGCTCTTCATTGTTGTCACACCACAAGAAAGCCCCATTCTTGGAACACATATTGATATGTGATGAGAAATGAGTACAGTCAAAAGTCGTTGATTCGGACACCCATAATCTGGAATGATCTATAATCCGGACCTCAAAGCTACAAACTTTCTGCGCTTGCGTCTCGTTAACGCATACGCCTAAGACCTTTGCGGCTGCGAATATGCGTTTGCACGTGCGCAAAATGCGTTTACAAATGCACGTTTAATGTATAACGGACGGTATGAGCTAAGCTAAAAGTATCTAATTCAGTTAATGTTGCCGATTGTGTTGTTCCTTAATCTTCGAATTGGATTCGACTTATTATTTTTTGCAGACTGTTAGACTGTAATTTTATAAAAGTAAGCTTGAACTTTCGATTATGTCAAATAGAATTTCTGATATATATTTACTAATACGTAAAGGATCTACAAAGCGAAAGTATGTTTCGAAGTCCATTAAATAAAAAGTGGAATTGCTGCAAAAAATGGATAAAGGCATATCCTTTGTTTATCTTTAACGCCGTGCCACACAATGAATTGGAAGTTGATCTGTCAGCACTATCCTTATCTTCAGGGCAGATGCTTTTATTTTATTTGGCTTATAATTCCTTACTAAATGCAGTATTTCATCTCAATATACTCCGTCTTTGATATGATTTACATCAAATTCCTCGTCATTATAATTCGCTTCTGATAGTGAAAAAAATTAAAAGTTTATTGAAAACAAAAAAATTTCGATTGACAAATTAGTTGGTATTCTCGAAACAGTAATTATAGGACTTGAACAGCGGAACTTTGGACCTGAAGAAGAAATTATGTCTGTTTATAGAATTACAGAGAAAGTATTATCACATAAAACAAAGCAACTTAAACAACTTACATTGAAAGAAATGTTTAATAAAGTAAACAAATAAATATTAAGCTTTTTTTTTTGTAAATTTTGATACCCTTTAGATCATAATTGTTCTTTGTTTCATAAATTAAGGTTTCATATTTTTGATTTTATAATTTCTGCATGCCATCTTACCAGATTTAAACTGATGATCTATAATCCGGAAAAATCAATAATTCGGAATCGCCGAAGTCCCGACGAGTCCGGATTAACGACTTTTGACTGTATTATACAAAACCGCAAAACAATACATCATTAGCCATTCCCTGGTTCTGTGTCATTTGCCCCAAAACAAAGCATTCATCAACAGAAATGCTCTGTGTCTGGTGGACTAGTGCTGATATTGTACACTTTCAGTTGCTAGAGTGACAAAACCATCACAGCCAAGGTGTACTTGTCGCAGTTGCAAAAGGGTTGCCACTGTACTGTGCCAGAAGAAGAAAGTACTAGTCAACAGGAAAGTGAAAATGCCAGACCTCATATGGTGAAAGCGACCAAGGAAATGATCAACACACTTGGTTGGGCATTTGTAACCTCATCCACCTTACTCCCCAGTCATCACCAAATCTAACTATCACCTGTTTTTGGCCATGGATAACCACTGACGAGCAACAGTTCCAAAACGAAGATCATGGCATAGGACTTTTTTTTCCCTCTAGGGACAAGAACTTTTATAAATGTGGAATTTACAAGCTTGTTACTTGTTAGGAAAATGTAACTGAAGCTGAAGGAGATTATTTTGGTGAATAAAATGCATTTGCATGAAATTACGGGTCATTGTTTCTCACTGAAAACTATAGAATGAACTTTTTTGGATACTTGGTAGCATATGGTTCTTAATGTAAAAACTCTGGAAATTTTATTTCTAATAGTGAGATTGAGAAATAAAAGTAGGATTTGCAGCAATCATTCAAATGTCTTCGATGTGAATTAGGTAAGATGATGAGAATTTTTTAAAGTCTATGAAGAATAAATACTTACGATCTGGTCCAGAAAGATTTATAGACATAATATCATAGTGCCGCATAATGAATATCCTAGTTGGGGGAGAGGAAAGAATTTTAATTATGCAAGGCTCTGAGCACAAGAAAAATACATATTTTCAATCTTTTTTGATAAACATTAACTAACGAAAGTACTACAACATTTAAGAGAAAAAAGGGTTTTTAATTGCAAACACAGAATTAAATGCATTAAATTAAACAGATACAAACAAATGGTGTGGCTCCCATATGGTGCTATAATTGGACTATAGGTATGTTTTTGGCTTCTTTCACAAGCCCCAAAAAGCATAGCAGGTGCATAACCGAAAAGTACTGAATAATATTACATGATATATTCACAACACAAATGATGAGTAACCAATACTTTTGATCAGATAATAAGATACACCAACAGAATAAAAGAACAATTACTGTTTGAAGCAGATATTTATAAATGTATTTTGGTGTTAAAAAGGAAATATTTAATATAATTATATTTTTGCAGAGAAATTATGCACAGCAAAACAATAAGACAGAATCTGGAAACAGAAGCATGGGTATCGGGCAATTAAATACATGGAATTGCTTCAATGAGAGAAAAGTTACAAAGCATTTTACCATTTTAAAGTAACATTTTTTTAACTAAATTTAAAAAATTGTCTAAGCAAATAAGTTTCCTCCTGATAATTTTTAAGGCACACATATGCTAATGGAAGTTTATTTTTCAAAAAATTTAATCAAATGCAGTGGTACCTTGGTCTATGCTATTTATCTGTTCCAAATCAATACCAAACAAAGTTTCACAATAAGAAATGAAAGAGAACTACTCCATTCTTATAAAAAATTCCCATTGTTATTAACGTTTTGAGGGGCGCTGGATTTTAGATCTGTCAGGAAGACCTGTATTTAAGCAACATTTACCGTCTAAATTTGTACAATTACTTATTTTAGTCACTATTTTCATAAACTTACATTCATTAAGATCATATTAAAGAACGTAAGAAAGCAAAATATCTTAAATTATAAGCTAATATATGTAAGTAGTAAAAATCTTATTATTGGATAAAACCAGTCAAGGTATTAATAGGGTTACTATAACTCTGTTAATATTAAAATGCAAATGCAGTGGGTGAAATATACAATGTATCCATAATTTAATCATCAGATAACAAAATTAAATTGAAAGTAATTTTATTACGAGAAATAATAAATATTGATATAATCTTCAATTTAAGGAATTTCATTTGTTCAGATTTTTGCGAACAGGTACAGGGAACTTGTTTGTTTACAGACAAAATGGCACCATGCATTCAAAAAGAAATGTGTGTCCTCTGGTTATGGGAAATAAAATCTCTAAAAACAGTTCAAAGGTGATTCAAACATGAATTTAATAAAACTCCACCCATGGAAAAATCAATTAAAAGATGGTTAAAACAGTTTCAAGAGCGAACATGTTTCGCATAAAGGTAGTGCAGGTAGGCCAAGTGTTCAGTGATGAAAATGTTTCTGCCATTCGAGATGTGTTTGTGTGCAGTCCCATTAAATCCATTTACTGTGCCAGCCAGCAAACAGGAATTCCCAGGTCGACTCATATAGTTGTTTATGAACTGTTGAAACTGAATGCGTACAAATTGCTTATTTATCAACAAATCAAATTCAAAATTCTTCAGAAAATCATACCTTTGTCATTCCAATATACATGTGCATGATTTCCTTGACGAAATGCTCCTAGACTGTTGAATTGATAGGGGTGACCAATTTCAGGGTCAACTCATTCTTCGAACATCACAATAATTGAGCTCTTTTTCTAGGGGTACCTGAAGAACCAAGTTTATGCAGCACAGATTTGCAGCATCAAAGAATTAGAAAAATCAAATCATCATAGAAACAGCTACTGTGACTCTACAAATGCTTAATAACATCTGGTGAGAAATAAATCGAGAAGAGATTTGATACTCTCTGAGCCACCGCTCCTCGTGTTGAAATGTATTAATATAAAATTATTTGAAGTGCTAAATAAAATTCAATCAGTATTCCCTGTTATCTCTTATTCTGTATTATTTAGTATCTTTATCCAGTGAATAAATTATGGACACTCTGTATATTGTACATTAAAAAAAATTATCAAATTTATTTATTAACTTTTTCGCCTTTTTCTTCTGAAATTATTAAATATATTAATATAATGCCATACCATAACAATAAGATCATTAAACAATGTCTATGTAAGAAATAAAAACTATGATCAATTTTTTTTTAAAAAAAGGATAAAAAAATTTGTATTTATATAAGAGAATCATGAAAGCAAGCCATGTATAGGAACACCAAGGGCAACTGATACAAGCAACACCAAATTTGGTACACAAATTTGGCATCGAGTTTTCCATACATTTACTGCCACTCTTTTGTGCAAAACTAGTCTTAGCACTGCCTTGAAAGAGGTAAACCAGGATAGTGAGCACCGTCGTGACTCACTGAACTCTAATTGAATTCCAAACAAAATGTATTTTAAAGCGAATATATATTCAGATACAGCCGTATATAATAACTGATATTACACATTTATTAAAAAAGTGTTAGCATTATCTTTAATCACATAGCATCAATTAACTTAAAACTGAGATAGACAAAACTATCCTGTAAAATGACACAAGTCTTGTAACAATGATAAAATGAAATCAGACTGCATCAAAATTTACTTATTCCCATTTCACTTAACATAGATTTGAAATGCATTTGCCATAAAGTGCATCACTCATCTGCACGCATAAGCTTTTTGTTATAAACTCCAAAATTTTAGTTTTTCAAACTTATTAAAAATGTTGCATTCTATTATTCATTTAATGACATCAAAAATAAAATGCATTATACCAAATAAAGGAGTAATTACAAAGCAATAAATACATCTCACATATTAAAAAATTTTACTTTGAGATAAAGAGATTCTAAATTAAAAAAATAAATAAAAATGAATGCAAAAAGTATTCAACAAAAATATGAAAGAAAATTTAGTCATTTTACTATATTAGACATATTTAATACACAAAATGAAATATAAAAGAATAGTTGTAGTTTAGAAAAAATAGAAACATTACCTATTGCAATAAGGAGAAAGTAATTTTGAGGATGTATCAACATAGTTAACAGGTGGATTCTGCATCATACCTGAAAATAGTTATAGGTTAAACTTATAATAATAGGTTAAACAAGTAATGGATTCAATTTATGCACTAAATTTTAAGGAAAAGAAAGAATTGAATGACTATATAAGAAAGGGAATTTGAAATATATACTGAATAATAATTTGTTAGCTTTGTTTGAATTAATTTAATTAACATTTAATATTAAGGATTTAGAATGTTGCATTATAATAAGGAAAAAACACGAAATACTTAATTTCAGCTTAAAAGCTTTAACTCTCTGAGCATTATGACCGGGTTTATCCGGTCATCAAAAGTTTTGCTACTAGACATATATTAGCTTATAATTTAAGATATTTTGCTTTCTTACTTTCTTTAATAATGTAAATATCATCTTAATGAATGTAAGTTTATGAAAATACAGACTAAAATAAGTTATAATAAAAACTCAATTAATAAATGCTGTTTAAATATCAGTCTTCATGATGGATCTAAAATCCTGTACCGCTCAGAGGGTTAATGCTAATACATTTATTTTAAATATTACACATGTAGTAACTGGAAACAGATGAAAAAAGATAATACTAATAGATTTAACAATATTACATTGCCAATTCCCATACAAAACTATAGACATGTTCTATACCTCAAAATTGAATAATTTCTTCATTTCAATATAAACATACTGAAGAGCACCCGTTTTTAAATAATAACAGCTGTACATTACAATAACCCTGTCACAAAATTTGTTATTTTATCTCAAATATTATAATTACCTACATAAAAGTTTCTATAGTCATAAAAAATATAAATGAAAATATTTTGACAATTACTAATATTCATGTCTTTAAGAGAAAGAATAACAGCAGAAAAGAAAGAGGTCTTTCCAAAGCTAATATTCAATTTAAATGTTATGATTCTTTAAATAAAACATCATGGTTTACATGCATCTGATTATAAGGAATTACTAAAAATAAAAGCAAATCACACAATATAAAAATTACAAAGCTGTTTTGAATTGGTCTAAATTTAAATGCATTTCAAGAAGTGGTGATGCTTACAAATAATGAAATCCTGCAAGCAATAAATATAATTAGTCCTTATTTCAACATAAATTTGAATATCATCTTGTGGTATTTTATTTGCAGTTTAAATAGCTATATTTGTACTAATTTTTTTAAATGAACTCATTTAAAATTCTTTAAACATTTTAGGATGAGGAGGGTTGGTTGCTTATTTGAATATAGTAAAGCACACAAGGGCTATCTGCCTGAGGAAAAGGCAGGAAGTTGCAGAAACCCTCCGTAATTTAATACACATTAAATACATTTTAGCAGATAATGGTAAAATATTTGTTCTCTTAAAAATCTGATGTGTACACCACGACTTCCTTGTATTGGAATATTAAATTATACACATTTTTTCTTGCATTTCATTTAACCTTTTGGATTGAATTAAATCTACTTCGCCGACAGCGCATAAACCACAATAGAATATATGCATTCTTTAAAATTCACTCTAGTATTTGTTTACCATAGTGACACTCTGGCCCTAGATTCACTAACTATACAGTTTAATAATTATATATAAATAATTATATAACGTAAACTAAGTTAACTGTTATATAATCCAATAATTATATAAACAGTTAATGTATATATTTCGTTCATATTATAACTCATAATGCACAAAATTTATATCAATTAAGAATAGAATTACAGTCAAAAGTCGTTAATTCGGGCACCCATAATCCGGAATGATCTATAATCCGGACCTCAGAGCTAAAAACGTTCCACATGCGCCACGTGCATGCACATACGTTTTGTTGACACATCCAGTCGCGTTAAGGCGGAATGTTTACCTCGCTAAAAACGTTCTGCCATGCGTTGACATATTTACGCGTTGCGTAAGTTTACAACTGCGCATTTGTGTGTGCGCAAGCGCAGAATACGTTTTCGCGTGCGCATTTAATGTATAACGGACGGTATAAACTAAAATTATCTAATTATCTATTTCAGTTAATGTTGATGATTGCGTTGTTCCTTAATCTTCGAATTGGATACGGCTTATTATTTTTTGCAGACTGTAAGAGCAATTTTATAAAACTAAACTTGAACTTTCGATTATGTCAAATAGAATTTCCGATGCTGGAGCTCCCAAAGGATCTACAAAACGAAAGTATGTTTCGATGTCCATCAAACAAAAAGTGGAATTACTGCAAAAAATGGATAAAGAGATGAAGAAGGTGACAGAGAGGTTAGTGAAAACGAAAAAATTTCGATTGACAAGTTAGTCGGTATTCTCGGCACAGCAATTACGGGACTTGAACAGCGGAACTTTGTAACTGAACAAGAAATTATGTCTGTTTATAGAATTAAAGAGAAAGTATTATCACATAAAAAGAAGCAACTTAAACAACTTACATTGAAAGAAATGTTTAATAAAGTAAACAAATAAATATTAAGCTTTTTTTTTTTTTTTTTTTTGTAAATTTTGATACCCTTTAGATCATAACTGTTCTTTATTTCATAAATTACGGTTTCATATTTTTAATTTTATAATTTCTGCATGCCATCTTACGAGATTTAAACTGACGATCTATAATCCGGAAAAATCGATAATCCGGAATCGCCGAAGTCCCGACGAGTCCGGATTAACGACTTTTGACTGTATCTAATCATTGCCACATGTTCTATTCAAATACTATAATAAAGCTAGAATGATATATAAAAGAAATTAAGCAAACAAAACAAAAAAGAAACAGTTTTTCACAGACGATTGAGTATTTCTCATTTAATTAATTTAGTTCTCACTTCGTGAGAAGGCAAAAATACATAAAAACTCAAAATATCTATATTAAAAATTACAAAGTAAATCTTAAACACTTATTTCATCGAAAAAATTCCAGAAAGGATTAAGCATGATTTAATTGGCAATAATAAATGAAGGCGTTATCTTTGTTGTTGCGATGCTAAGTTTTTTCTAGATTGGCAACAAATCCACTAGTCTCCTGTTTCAAATGTAAAGATCAATCGCCGCCATTAAAAACAGTCTTAGCGGCAATTAAACAACTTTAAAATTGCTGATAATTCTAAAAATATTGCACACAGATTTACTAATGGCATAAAATCCTTAACCGGAAAATAAAAACAACATAATTCAATCACTTTTAAAGCAAAAAATGTACAATTTACAAACATATAAGAGTAAAGAAACTGGGATCACTGAGCCGGGTAAGAGAGTGGATATATATATAAATATATTTATATGCGTTTGGTGTGGCCGATCGCAACCAAAATACGAGGTGCACATCTACATGTTATAGCAGTCCTATATACAAAATTTCAACGTTCTGAGGCTACTTGTTTTTGAGTTATGCGAAATAAGTACGTACGTACGTTCGTACAGATGCCACGAAAAATTCTCTTCAGAATTAATTTTAAAGCAGTTTTATAACTTTTTTGAAGGAAAAGAGCATTTTATTTGTCCTTACGTACAGATATCATGCAAAAACATCGTTAAATTGCATTCGATAGCGGTCAAAATGGATATTTTCTTTGAAATATGCTGCTTGAAACTTTTCGCGATTACAATACTTCCTTTTTACTTCCTTAAGGAAGTAAAAAGGGGGTTGCATTTACAAACTGACTTTTTCTATAATTCAGTCTTAACACCTGAAACAGTTTTTTTTTAAATACTCTTAACTATGGATTTGAATTATTTACTTCCCTTTATTAACTTTTATATTCTGCAATGCAAAGATCTAGAGTAACTGCATACAGTTTTTTCATAGGTGTCACTGTTCCCATACTTCAATCTTGAAAAAATTGATATGATGGCTGAGGTATACCTGATAGCTTTAGTGTTTTGAATTGGTTTATAGATCAGTAAAATACTTCAATTTGCTACACTTGAGAATTAGCAATTTTGTTGCAATTAGTTCTTGCGTTTCATGATTATGCAAGAATTTCTTATTGTAAGTCTCTATACATTTACTTTAAATAATCTGCCAGATAAATAATAATAATTTAAATAATCTGGCAGTATTATAGAGTGAAAAGCAATCGCAGATGTTTCTTGCATGCAGTCAAAAGCTACATTAATTTTAAACCTGCTGTGAAAAACTGCACTGCCATGCAACATACTGAGAAATTTTTTTACGAATGTTAGTACACTCTGAAAGTTCATCCTGGCCTTTAGTAACGCAGTCTTCTCAAACAGTTTAACATTATAAGGCACATGCATATAGTAGCATATATAAAGCATGCTTACTTAGGAAACAAAACAACAGGAAAAAAAACTTAAAAACTTCATACAACTTGCCAAAAATTGCCTTACTTACAAAAGCATTTTGCCTAAAGAGATTGAAATATCTTATGCATCAATCATATGTGAATACAGTTCTGTGCAGATAAACAAAGTGTAGCTTACTGCAGCATTTAAAATAAAATTCTTTAATTGAAAGAATCAAGGATTTAAAAAAAAAGGAAACTATTAACGCTTAAACAAGCAGGACTAATGCTTAAAAAACCAAATTTTGCAAAACAGAGTTCAGCACAGCAGTGGTTGTCAAAGTACAGCTCATGAATTTTTTTAACATAATTCATTTATAACTTTAGTTTGTAAACATCATATATATATATTATGTCTTTATTACATCGAGTTTGTTCTTCTACGACTTTTCTTTCCCTCCCACTTATTTCAAATATAAGTAACCACAAGTAGGCTATAATAATTTGCAGCTATCTGTATGTGGTTTACAAAGTTAAATTTGTGGAAACTCTGCTGCAGACATATAGAAACAACCAGTTTAAAAAAAAAAAATCTTACAACTTTCAGATTTTAAATTACGCCTAAAGTTTTTTTTTTTTTTTTTTTTTTTTTTTTTTTTTTTTTTTTTTAACATTTTGTGTGTTACCTTTATACACAGTCTCATGCGCTGGAGATAAAAACTTTTTTTTTCATACAGAGTTGCCGTTCCTCGCTTTGAAATCATAAAGTTTGTTAATTAAAAATTCTTTAACGTCTAACAAAATACGAAACAGATAATAAAACAACTTCTAAATTAGGGCTTTCAGATGCCCATATTCGGTGGAGGATAACGTTATTCAAAATTTGATGGCTCTAGGTATCGTTATTGTATAACAATGCAATTAATATACATAAATTTAGGCAAATTCTTCATTACTTAATTTCTTTAAATATAATACAGGGCTGTAATATTTGTGTCAACAGTTTGAAAAGTGAATCAATGCAAAAAGTGAATTAACACGAAATGCCAAAGCGAAATCAATAGCCGTTCTGGGCTAACATTCTTTGGACTAAAAATTCAATGGGACAACATACTTACATACTTGGAGAAACATAAGCAATGAAGACTAATCCTCCCCCATTGATTAGTTTCAAAAGAAGAAATCTTCCCTTGACCTGTCATCTTTTATTACTAAAAAAGATTCTCATGTTTGTTTGGTTTGTAATATATGCAAAAGAAAGCCTAATCTTACCAGAAGGAGAGATTAGAATGAAGTATACCAAAAATACGTTTCTAGCTGTTTACTCAGAAAAATAAATTGCACTTTTGGGATTTGTTGAGAATTTTTTCTTTCTTTTTTTAAGAATCAGAAGAGTTTCTTAGATTTTTCTCTCCAAGTCAGTAGACAATCTGTTTTGTTCTCAGTTTTCATAAAAAGCAAGCAAGCATCTAAATCAATAGAATGAATTAAAATAGATAATTTTAATCACTTAAATACTAATATAACTAATAATATTTGATAATAATTACCAAGTTTTGTTGAAAGTCCTATGTAACACAAGCCAGTAATAAAAGCATCAAACCCAGCTTCATGGACCTTTTTAGAATCTGCATTATATCCTTTAAAGCCATCTTCTGCCTCTGAAAATCAGATTAAAACCATGTCAATCATTCACTTAAGTATCAGATTAAAATTTAAAGAAAAAGACAAATTTAAGAAACACGATAGAATAAAACAACATGTTGAAAACCAGTGTTCCCAACTTTATCATTTAGTCACTGATGGGAAATGATGTAATTTACAAACTATTATATTGTAATATGCATGTAATTTATAAATTGAAAATTGTTAGGACCACTTCATAATGGTGCCTCAGCATAACAGTGCTGCAACTTTATGCAAGTCATTCTATGTTTGAAAAGACAGAAATCTTCATAAGGCAGCTTAAAGAGAGTGCATACAAACTGACGATCAGTTTCTCACTTCAAAACTGATCTTCAACACATTTATGCCAATCTAGTGTTTTTCATAAAGGTGTATGCATACTTTTCCAATTTTCATTTAAATTAATGATTAATAAACTGAGCAGGAGATGAAATAAATCTGTTTCATCTTAATAAAAATTGGGGACTTTGCATAAAGGTACTTGTAATTTTATGAAAAATGCTGAAATGTTATAAAGCTGCCCAGAAATTTATGAAAAACAGTGGATTGGTATAAAGGTGAAGGAAACTTTATGAAAAATGTTCAACTAGCACAAGCATATTGAAGTTTTTGTCAATCAGAAAAATTTTTCATGTTGTGCTTCTCGCAAGAGGACTCGGGTATTTCAATAAATTAAACTTTATTTTCACTGAATAGACAAACTGTTTAACACATAAAAGAAGGATATATACATAGTCTTTTACATATATATATATATAGCCTTTTACATATAGCCTTTTACATATGATATACATATATATATATATGTCATATATTTAGGAGTAGGAATTTGATGGCGTAGAAGTGCTGATCCATAATGACTAAAAAATTGAAGGCGAATGCTGATTAAATCTTCAGTTTTATTTTCAGCAACATGTTATGGCTACACACAAGTCAGCACATTAAGTGTGCTTGTTCCAAAACGCTTACATTTTTTATAACTTTGTAGCAAGAAAGCAGCAGCAATCTAGCTAGGCCAAAGCGTAGAAAGCAAATGTGTAATGTTCAGGATGAAATCTGAAGTGAAACTGAGCTAGTTTTGGTTCTCAAAGCATTTTGATTGGATAGTTAATATTGCTGTAAATTATTATTGGTTGCTTTAGTTCCATCTACATCATCGTACTTACATAAGAATCATATGACATAGAATAGTCTCGAAATGATGCAGTGCAGAGAGGGGTTACTATTTTTAGAATTGAGAAGGGAAATTTACGTTGTTAATTTAATGTTTTACATATTCTTTATTTTTCTAACATATTAAATATATACATACATATATATCTTACTAAGATCTTACATTTATTCTTGAAAGATGTCATAGTAACACCTGCTTTGCACAGGCACAGATTTAGCTTCTTTAAAAACATCAAGATTTAACATCTTTTCTGTGATTTTCATAATAAAAGAAGGAAGTTTTCCTTTCCTCAAATTCATCAAAGAGTTTCTTTAACTGTACTTCTGTCCAGAGGTAAACTCTTACAGCTTTTAAGTATGTATTTACAAATGTAATTTATAATGGCAAGCATTAAAAGACTGTATAGCCTGTTGACAAATTATGCTATTAAAATCTGAAAGAGTATATTTTGTGCAAACCTCATAAATCATAAATGTTCACAATCACATGATCCCAAAAAGATTTATTTAAATGTACGGTGGAAAAGAATAATCCACTGAAATGTAACTAAATTATATATGCATATATCTATTGCCCCCCCCCAAAAGATAAAACTTATTTTAAAAGACTAGCACAAATCAATTATAAAGGTATTAACATTGATCCTTTTAACATTAGATTTCTTTCTACACAGATGTCAAAAACTCATATACTATACTAACAATTAAATGAAAGCATAGATTTCTTTGACTAAAAAATAGGTAGAATTTTTATACACATTTTTTGATAGAAGCAAATAAAGATCTATTATTCAACTCAACTTTTGTATGTTCAATTTCTAAGAAAACTGAGTTTAACCCGTTTAGTATGGGCATGTCATATGTGCATCAGCAATGAACATTCCTCACGGCCGAGTGTGTCATATTTGAATTGCCATTTAATTTACTTTGTGGCTGGGCATACCACATTTGACTTTTTAGATAGAACATTTAATTAGTATTTTTTGCTGCCACTAGATGTAGCTGTATGTCTGTTATGAGGAAATATATCAAAAGTTAAGTATGTGTACCTTCATTCCTACGCAATGTTTTTTATTTTTGGTATTTTGCAGAATGAGAGGGAGATTCGTGGGTGAGTGTTGAGCAATGTAATGTCTTTTTAACTGTGTCATTTGATATAAACAAATGCACGTGTTCTCGATGCTTTGAGGTACTTTTTATTTTTGTGATATAGGTATCTGAACATAGAAGAATATACCCAAATGCTAATTCCGTAGTGTTGAGTAACATGATGGCTCTTACTGTGTTATTTCATATAAACAAATGAACATGTTCTCGGTGCTCTGGAATACTTTTTAATTTATTTATTCCATTTTTAATCCCCATATAGTGGAATAGATGTTCTATCATTAGAGACTTTTTTATTACTCTTAGATTTTTCTGGTATTGAAACGAATATTTTGTATGGCTTAGCGAAAGTTTTTTTTTTTTTTTAATGTTCCATTTTTTTTAATGGCAAAACGAAAGCGCTATCTGACCACAGAAGATACACAAATGTTAAAATGAGTCAAATTTGCTGATATTCTATTTCTATGACATTTCCAACGTCGGACTTTGCACACACCCATGTTTCAAAGAATATCATACACTATCTCTTTTTTGAAATATTGCTTCCTTTTCGTTGTTTTCACATTGAATTTTTATGAAAGACAGTTTTAATATTTTTTAATTTTAATTATGTGATGTGTTAAATAAAATATGTGATTGTTTGGATATTTTTCTAAATACATTTAATTGTGGGATAAAGGCAAAATTATATTATTCCAGAATGAGTATTTTATAAAATTTTTAAGGAAAATATAACAATACAGGTTTAAAACTAATTCTGACAACTACCTGAATGTTCTTCTCGTAATGTACCAAAAATTGGAACAAATGGATGACAAATTTAATTTATATGAATTTTTTTCCAAAGTTAGGCTTAAAAGCATGAATTGCCCATCCCCACAAAACGACGTATCCAGTTAACGCGCCGTCCCAAGAGAACGTTTCGGTAACAGAAGTGCCAGTCGTGAACAGATTAAATGAGCAAAAGCCATTTAAATTGAACTCAAAATAAGTGTGCTGCGAAGTAGATGAGCAAAATTAAACATAAATTAACTAGCATGAAGCCTTCGATTGAGTGTGCAAGGAGGAAAAACATCCTATTTCTCAAAGGAAAGGGGGTACTTAATTCATACACTTCAGACAGTCATTTTTATAGAATTGGTATGATAGATGAATTACTATATCCAAAGAAAAATTGCATTGCGATATCAGAAGATTCCTAGGAATTTTTTTATGGGTTGTTACCACTGCCACAATCACTCATCATTACAAGTGAGTTAAATGTATGTAACTATTATGTCCACTATTACAAAAATAAAACTTATCTGTGCAATTTTCCTTCCAGCATTTTCTGCATATGACATTGAAACTATCATAGCAATATGTTAGACATGGACTGATGGTAAAGCATAACACATAAGTAAAAAGAAAAGTACCGAAAATAATAATTAAAACCAACTTCTCTAACATAAATATTAATATTAGTACGCTGTTTCATATGCACTAAACTTGCCTCCCATAAAAGCGCAAAGTGCAAACCACTCTGAGTAATTTTCTGCATTCAATTTTCTAAATGCAAAAGATGTAAAAATGAAGAAATGAAATCTATGCGAGTAAATACAATAGTTTAAAAACAATATATACATAAGCAGACTTGTAAAGAAAAAAGAAAGCAACTGAAATTTATAAACCAGAAAATATTATTATTCTGAAAGATGAATAGCTTGCTAAGCCTTAATCATTCTCTTTTTACTCTTAAAATTGCATTTTTAAAGAAAAGTATCCTAGAACATCCAAATCAGTTTGAAACAAGATGCTCAACTGAACACTGCAAAAGGAAAATCTCAGGCCAGGAGATATTAATAATGCTAAATGTTAGTTAAAAAAAAACTTTATTAAAATTGAAATTGACAAATTAATAAATCTAAACAAACTTACCAACTTTTGGCATATCAAAAGCTTTCCCTTGCAACTGCTTGAAGAGTTCAAAAAGGTGTGTGGTTTCAAAAAATGACTAAAAACAAGAACATAATGAGCAATTTTTTGGCATTCCTTTTTATCAAATATGTATTATATAATTTTAATTAAGTATTAATTGGAATTAATTCAGGTTTAATGACAATCTTGCTAAGTAAAATAAATATTTAATTATTCAACAAGCATTTTTGAGAAGTGGATGAAGTAACAATAACAATTGTACTAAAAAACAATAGCAATAAAAGTGATAATATAAAAATATTTCAATTTTTACCATAATTTCTTCATTAAAAAAAAGAGATATCTTTAAAAAGTTAGTTGTTACTTCTCCTTTTATATTAAAAAACATCAGCCTATTATACATCAATAAAATGATTACTTCATTACTACTTTAAAGGTTAACTATGAATAAAGAAACTACAATTTGAAATGGCTTTGCTTATCTAAACAGGAGATTTTCATAACTGGTTAGAGCAAATTTTTTAACTGGAAACAATTCTTATAGCAATTTTAAGATTCATTATCATAAATACTGCTTACATACATTCCAAAATGCCAAACAGAAAAATTTTTAAATCAAATGACAAAAGACAAGACCCATGTTATTATTTTTACATGAAACTATCAATAATTGTAGAAAATGTAATATTTAATCCCTTCTTTGCAGCACATATTCACAATTGTTTGCAATCATTAAAATAATTACTATATCAGTGAAGCCTTACCTGTTCTATAGAGCACCTTATAATTTTTTTATTTATTTACCATTTTTTAGGTTTTGTTAAATGTATCTAGAAAAATACATGTAGCTCATACATTATTTTTGCTTATGTTGTTTCATATTATAAAAGACTTTGATGGTTTGCACTAACAGTATACAGGTGACGGGTGACGGAGGACGGGGACGCCTGACGTATAACATAGGTAAACAGGCATATGTCCCACGTCCTCCACTATCTCGAAGAAGCAACTCGCTGGAGCCCCGTGAGGCTGCACCAGGAGTTTACATGGCCATACAGGGGCTAGATGTCGGGTAGTTTTTACATAGGACGTTGTTAATAACACAAAGTAACTTAGAAAGAATATAAAGGATAGCATTAAAAACACTAAAACATTCATATAAGCTGAAACACATAGATATACAAAATTAAACGTAAAAGCATAAAAACACACTCGTAATTACGTAACATAAAGACATAAGAAACACACACGAAAATAACATATCATGACACATAGAATACATATGGAAACACGTAGAGCACATAAATGCAAATATTACACTCAGAAGGAAACATATGAGACATAGTAAGGTGTGCGTAAAGCAGTAGTGCTGTGCGGAAATATGCTCAGTTCCCATAATACATAATGTACATACTTTCATTAGGGGCTTCTGTTGCATGAATTACATATTTTCGTTGCATACACTACATTCGTGCATTGTACGGATATTATATATTTCGATTTTTTACGATATAACACATCATTCCATTGGGTGCCCAGTGCTTTACACTGATAAACATGCCAGTAACATTATATCTGCAAGTTGGTGGCTATTGAAAGCAGATGTTAACACGAGGCTCGAAATTGAATGTGGAATGTGTATTACAGAATGTGTACATACTGCGAATGAATATCTAATAGTTGAGTACATTGTCTGCAATACCATACTACTGTGGCTCGCAAATGTCTTGCCCTAGGGCGTTGATTTGCTGTACAACTGCGCAGATGCTCCTTATAGCTGGCGGGTGTTTGATTATGAAACGATAGTAAAGTGTTCTATCATTCGTTGGATGTGGTAAGTGGTGGTTTGTTGTTAGACTGCAGTCAAATAGATAGTGCTCGGGAGAACCTAGCATGCCACACACAATTGTCAGATGCTGAAATGCCATGACGCATAAAATAAGATGGAAATGGGCCATGACCCGTTATGTACTGTGTCAGTGGGGCTATTGTTATAAGACGTTCCGTGTCTACCTTTGGTAGGAAGTTATACGTCCTTCTCCCTGTGTCGCCACTATTCCATTCTTCTTGCCACTTTTCTTTACAGATGTTACGCAGAGTTTTCTTGAGGTGTGAGACGGGGGTAGGGGCACTTATAGTTTGAGCGTGGATGTTGTTGGCAGCCTCATTAGCCAGTCGGTCTGCGACGTCATTCCCTTCGTTGTCGGAGTGTCCTTTCACCCATACCATGTTAAAGCGGTGCCAAGGGCTTGGTTCTGAATATTTATGCATCTTTTTAATTTGAAGCCTGACCAGACATTTTGTCCAATTTATATTGATTTCCTTCTCTTTAAGCATCTTTACTAAGAATTAGAAAATTATTTTAATATGCAAACCAATGTTCTCACTAGTTTCTGCATGCTTTATCTCCTAACTTGTCAACCTCTCCACAATGTACCTATTAGGGCTTACTTGACCTGGTAAAAGCTAAATAGTCCAAAAACTCCCGACAGACATGAAGCAAGTTATCACTATGTCTCAAAATAACTACAAAGTCAGACAAAGGTTTAAATAAACCTCTTATTTAAAAAGAACTTAAAGGCAACCAATTCAATTACAGTTTGTGGTGATGTAATTAACAATCAAATTCAAACAAAAAAACAAGAACAAATTCAAACAAAAACAAAATGTGGACTAGTGGTCAAAGACAATACAATGTAATTTTAATTTAAGCTGGATCAGTAATTCTATCATCATAACAAATTCAAATGTCAGCAGCCATAATGCAAAGACAAAAAGTTACAAATTATCAGAGGTGGCAGGAACTAATGCAGAGAGCAAGCGGAGATTACAAACACACTCTGTCTTACACACCAGAAGCCTCAGTTTACAAACTGCCTAAGTAATATTGTTACGAAATGTCAAGGTGCGGTGAGATGGCTTCGCTGCAAAACAGTTTTAGGGTTGCCATAAAATGGAATGGGAAGGCAGGGTTGCCACATTTTGCAAGAAATCCCCCATTTGGCGACAAAATTGGTGATATGCCATGGACTGATGGAGAACCTTCTGGAACGAATTCTTACCGGTTTAGCCCAGAATGTTCTCGAACGGAAGCCGAAAGCTATATAAACCCTGCTGGTCCGTAGTCAGGGAGTGTCTCACAGTGTACCTCGTCGAGAAGACGATTGTTTGTGCCTCGTCTAGAGTCTGAGTTACTTAGTATCGAGTTGGTGTCTTGTCTAGCGAGTCAATCCCTGCGGAGTCGATCAAGTTGACAGCCAGCCAGCGAGTGCCAACTGGGTCGTCGAGTTCACCGAAGGAGTCTCTTAGTGTATCACGGTTAGTGCAACATCGAGAGAGCATGTTGAGCTCCGGGAACGACTGAACTGAAGAGTCGGGAGCCATGCTCTGTGTGTCGTCGAGTGCATCGCGAGTTGTAGCGTGGAGAGTCTCGAGAGTACGAGAAATTCCGAAAACGATCCAGCAATGTCGGGAGCTGTACTCTGATGCTTTGCAGTGAAGCTGTCTCCATCATTATTGCCTGACAGTGTGATGAAGGCTGTGTTGCTGATTGTTCCAGCGTGTTTATAATAGATCTTCGATGACTGTAAAAGTGTTTTGGAGTTGTCCTGATTAATATTGTAAATAAAGTGTGTTTTGATATTTCATCAAGTAGCGTCATCGTTATTCACTCCAAATCTCCACGAACCCCGTACGAATGTGAAGGAAGAAAATAACGTAACAACTGGTGTCAGAAGAATAAAAAGGCGCAACAATATGTACATTCAGAAGAAATATGAAATATATACGGTAAGGTAAGGTTACAGAGCTGGTGTGGCAGAATTTTTAGAATTTAGTGATACACCAAGCAGGAGAATGTAGAAATGGCAATACGTTTAGAATTTAGAGCAGGCACTGAAAGCAGAATTTAGAGAGGCACTAGTCGGCAAAATTTAGGATCTGAAGAGATAAGTTTAATATTCCATGTGATTGCACCAGGTGGGAAAATGCCTAGCGTCAGACCTGTGTATGATGCATTAAGACATATTAGATGAATTGCCAGTTTTCAATTTTTTTATTAATCAAAAAATTCCTTTCTATTATGCCTGGCCATGTGATAAGATTAGAAGCATTTTTAATATTTTCCATAGTGTCTAGTGAAAAGTAGGGAAAATAAAGGGAAGATAAGCATGTTAAGATAAAGATTCTAGTATCAGAAGTAAAACATTCAAATATTATACGAGGGCCATCCAGGAAGTAGATTACGTTTCCGTCTGTGTCCGCTAGGGGCGGGGCTAGCGCGGCCATCTTGGGGTCAGAGCGTTGCGCAGCTCAGTCTGCATCTAGCCGTGCTAGTGAGAGGTTCGTGCTGTGCTCCGTTCAAATACTGTGACGGTTTGAAATGTCTGCGTTAATTGAAAATCCCGCGAGCTGCAAGGTGCGCATAAGGTTTCTGACTGCAAAAAACTGTAAACCGATAGAAATCTATCGGCAGCTTCGTGAAGTGTATGGGGACAACATTATCACTGAAGGTGGAGTGCGTCAGTGGGTCATAAGATTTCAAAATGGCCGAACCAATGTTCAAGACGAAGATCGAAGTGGGAGACCCAGCATAGTGACCGCCGAACTTCTCGAAAAAGTCGATGCTAAAGTCCGTGAAAATCGAAATTTCACAAATAATAACGGAACTTTCTTTGAGTTTTCCACAAATTTCGCGAAGTTTGTTGCACGAAATCATCAGCGAAAAGCTTGGTTACCACAAGTTTTGTGCAAGATGGAAGGCAAGAAGAGGTAACGAAGTGGTTGAAGTGAAGGCGAGGCGGCCGAATTTTTTTCGACGAAGGAATTTCCAAGCTCGTACATCGCTACGATAAATGCCTTAATTTGTATGGTGACTATGTAGAAAAGTAGTATTTGAGTGTGGCTTTCATCTGTATATAATAAAATTTGTTTCCTATACTTTGTTTATTTTTTTATTCCAAAACGTAATCTACTTTCTGGATAGCCCTCGTATTTCCATTGTTCTTTCAGACATTCTCCAAAAAGTAAGAAATTCATCGCAAACTTTCTGTAAAATACATCGATTGCATGTTAATACCATAGAGACATTTTTCATTTTGTCACATTTTTCTAAAATCTTCTGGAATCGTGGGTCTATAAATCTTGCCTTCTAATACTTCTAAACTTTCCAAGTTGCATCCTTCTTCAAGTTGCAATGTCTAATGTCCTGAAGAAAAAATTACCCCTACCAATTTTGCAACAGCAAACAGCCAGAAATATTTTAAAGAAAAAAAAAATCAGACAGAAAAAATGTGAAGTTAATTTTATAGAGAAAAATGATGCCTATTCTGAAAATTCTGAATACTCTGAGACAATTACATGAGAAAACTCTTATTATGAAAAAATTAAAAAGAGATATTTTTAATTAATATGTTCCTTTTTAAATATAATTTCTATACATTACCAGTATTTTAATGATAATTATCAATGTTAGAATGTTTAAAAAAAATTGTCGAAAAACTCCCAGATCTTGGAATTTAAAATTTTGTATAGAAACTGATCTTAAAAATTGCCAAAATGTTGATTAGTCGCCAAATTTAGAGCTGTTCAATAAAAGAATTCACATCCCCAAAAGCAAAAAGTTGTTTAAGAGCTATTCATTAGAAAAAGTGAAACAATTTCGAAATACTTGTTTCACTTCTTGCTCAGAAACTCGAGTATTAGAAATAGGAACAAATCATAACTCATTCAAATAACCATATTTATCAGTAAATCGCCAAAAATATACCTCCAAACTGCTAATTCACACTCGAAATGGCAGTCGTAAAAACAGACAGAAATTTCACATGCTTAAAAAATTAAGGACCTTCTGCTGATTTTGGCCAAAATTAAGGACTTTTAAGGACCAAAAATCGATTCTAAAAAACTTAAGGGCTCTTAAGGACCATACGAACCCTACTAGATAGACTGCTGCTTCTCTTCTTATTGCAAAGTTATCAAAAATGTAAAATGCTTGAAATAGGCACGGTTAGAGTGCTAAGTGAACTGTGGCCGCAAACGTAAACTGAAATAAAAAGAAATATTTAATTTGTCTCGGTTGTTAAGTTTGCACTTCATTATGGATCTTAACAATGCAATCATTACTACAACAATATGATATATATATATACGTGTATTACTGTTTAAAGCTACTGATAACACTTTTCAAATTCATGCATCTATTTTGGAAGAAAAAGTAAAGAGACTATTAACTTAAAAGTCAAACACTAAAAGAAAGCATTAAATTTGCAAATTTTCCTAGGACTAGTTTTGATGGCTCGGTAAAATCATCGACACTAGTCCTGTGAAAATTTTCAAATATAATGCTGGCTTTTGTTGTTTGACTTTGTTCGGCATGTTACTTTATCTTAATTAGTGACGAGGCTAATTTGAGCATATTTCAAGATACACACACACACACACACACATATATATATATAATATATACACTGAAGCACCATTACATTATGATCACCTGGTTAAATATAAAGTAGAATCACCTTTTACTCTCAAAGCCGTCAACAAATGGCAAGGCATTGGATTCAATAAGATGCTGATGGGTAGTCTGAGGTATCTGATACCAGGCACTCACCAACTGGTCCTGCAATTCTCGCATGTTGGAAGACAGTAGCATGGCAGCACAACTCACCAAATGTTCCTCCAATCACTCTTTGACGATTCAGCCCTTATGACATGGTGCATTACATTAATGGTAAACGTCACCATCTGCTGGGAATACTGTTACCATGAACGGGTGCACCTAATCTGCAATAACGTTTACATAGCACACAAATGTCAAGGATAGTTCTATGAGAATGATGGGTCCTAATGTACCCTCTGAAAACATTGTGCACACTATAATACTGCTGTCACCACCTAGTATCTGGCCAACTGTGCAACCGGGTGCAGGGTTTCCACTGGAAATTGGTGGATTCGCACTCGCCAATCAACTTGATCGAACAGAAAATGAGATTTGTCGGACTAGACGACTTTCTTCCATTCTTCTATGGCCCAATGCCCATGTTCATTGGTCCAGGCGCTGCTGCCAACTGCATGCCATCAGCACAGGGCCACTATTCAGGAGTGGCTGCGAAGGCCCACATGCAGCAGTGTGCACTGAACTGTCTGTTGAGACACACCATCTATGTTGCCACTGTTGCAGCTGTTACTGGTTTCGGTCATTGAAGCACTTCAATCATGGCAAACAATGCATAATAGTCTCCGCTCTTCTCTGGAATAAATGTGGCCTGGCTGACAAACCACTAGCCAGTGACTTGTTGTTTCACCATCCACATACCACTTCTGATAAGTACTCACAAAAGCTGCATGCGCCATTTCCACTAAATGTGCCACTTCTCAGCATTAACCACATGTGTGCCAGTGATTTTTTCTCCGAGCGAGCTCATTGCTCTAGGTGAAGTGACCATAATGTAATGGCTTACTTATATGTATTTATTAATAATATTCTAGGGCATATAAAGGTAAGCCCATAGTATAATAAGATATTTTTTTATAAATAAGAAAGATTACTAACCCTGAAATAAATTTATCTCTTTCAAAATAATCACCAGGAGTCTATGCAATTTTTCCAATGTTTCTTCAGGTCATCGAAACATTGTTTATAGGCGTTGGAACTAACTGTTTGCAAAATAGGCATAACTTTTGATTTAATATGAGAGGTTTTCAAATCTCTAATTTTATGGCCATATTAAGTTTCGGAATAAAGGGAAAAATCAGCTGGTGATAAGTTGGGAGAAAATGGTGAGTGATTTATCACTACAATTTAATGCTTAACAAGGTATTTTGTACAATTCGGTGGGGCTGGCTTAGCAACATTGTGTATGGAGCTTAGCAACATAGCATAAAAGAAATCACAAGAATCAAAACCCATTGTCTAAAACGTTCCTTCCTAACTCCCCTTATCCTGTTTCTTAATCGTAAAAATGCTGACTAATTGATTGATTTTTCAGGGGCAATTTCATGGTGAATAAATTTAAAGAATTTTCTTTATATTTTCCTTATTCTTTGAAGTTGAAGGGTGCCCTATCTTTGGTTCACTTTCAGTGCTTTCATGCGCACATTTAAAGTGGTTACACCAAACTCGCTTTCTTGTTAAAGATGCATCTAGTAGCAGATTTACCTAATCTGTGACAATATTTAATGTTGTTCCACTTTGAAGCATTTTTTTTACAATGTCATTTCAGTAAATGAAAATGACTCTTTTCATACACAAACAACAAAATAACCAGTCTGAATTGGCTTTAACAAAAGTTGAGATATCACTCTTCCTAAATATATAGTTGTTTATTCTTTCTCTTTTTAATTTTAGCATTTAGTTTTTTGTGTGGTTACTTTATGGATGCACCCACTATATAACCCGATCAGGTAGAGGATTCATATGAGCCAATTCCTGCCGTAATTCAGTACTATTATAAATGTCTTCACTAAATCCCCATGCAAATAACATTAAAAACCAATGATTAATGCAACACAGGTAATGAAACATCAAGCAATGTTTCATTGTCTATGTTACATTAATTAGTTTTATCATATGAAGGGATTTATTTTGGCCAAATTCATAAATAATTCTTTATATATTAAATCATTTTTATCTACAAAACATATTAAATAAAAAATAATAAAATTTGTTTGAATATATATGTTATTCAAGCATAAAACTAAAGTTTATTAATATAAAACATCCAGTACTCACACGGAATTTTTCACTAGATGCCATGTGTTTTGTATCTAAAATATGAGGAAATGTTAATCGCAACATCTGTTTGAATTCTTGCAAATCCTACATGGAAAAAATAAAAAATAATAATAATAATAATAATAATAATAATAAAATAAATAATAATAATAAATTAAGATGAAAGCTCTGTAAAGTATGAAAATAATAAGTATTTCATTTTGCAATAAATAAAACCCATAGTCAATACTTCTGTACTTTCCCTCAAGATGTATCACTTTCCAAACAAAAAGTAATATATAATAAATTTTTATTACAAACGCACTAATATTTGATTTTCATACTGACTAATTTACATAATACACAATTCACATGAGCTCAGCAGTATAAAAATTTTTACCAGCTAATAAAAGTTATTACTCAAAATAACAACAATTTTAGCCTGAAGAAATATTATGGATATGGTGCTATTTAAATACAGGATTATTTTATAATATTTTAAAATTCATGGCAGAAATATCTAAATAATTTGCATTCTTATTAAAAAAATGAAAAATTATCACCAGTAGGCTTGTTCTGAATGTCATAAAAAGTCCTCAAGCAAGAATGATTGTTTCAATGTCATCTGCCAGGCACAATTGTCTTTTTCACCAACTGCAGCTTAGCTTGTATCCTTTATCATAATGCCTTTCTTCATTAAGACTTTAGCACAGTTAAATTTAGAAGTGGGCGGGATAGCAGAAAATCACCATTGGTCCTACAAGTATAGTCCTGCTGCGCTAACTGTGCTGGTCTGCCTCAATTTTGAGGGAAAATACCCAAACAGAGTACTGGCTCCCATTCCTCTTCCCCTATCACGAACTTGATGGGACTTTCAGATTGCCATGCATTTTGAGTGGCCACTTGCTGCACAGGTCGAACCCCGGACCTGTGGTGCTGCTGTGTGATGCGCAAGCCACTGCATTAACGGTCCTCCTTATTAATATTTAAAGAGATAAAAAAAAGCACTCTGAAAGTTTTCATTGTTGCTCTTTGATACTTTAGGCAAGTCAATACCTTAGTTTTGTAGACTGTTATTGTTCCACTCATTTAATGAATTCATGCTCTTAACTAGCATTAAAGTTAGTTTAATATTGTAAGTAGCCAAAGAAAATGGTGGCTGTGGCGGTAATGGATTTCTGGAGCAAAGCTCTAAAGGCCATATATGCCAAATACAGGATTCATCATTCAACTTACAAACTATTGTACATATGTTAGATAAAGAAAAAAAGCTTAAAAATAACAACACACTTATAAAATCGAGGCAAGTAGTAAGATAATGAAATGGTGTGATGAAATGCTGAATAAGATTCAGTTAATGATATATGCAGTACAGATATAAAATCATAACACATCTGATGCTTTAAAATACATAGCATTAATATTCTAACATAAAATCTCAAGACAAAATCAAATTAAATAATAGAGACCTGTTTCCTTCAGGGCACTGAAACAAATTCATATTGACCTCTCTTCCAATTAAACAGTCGAAAGGCTGGTCGCAGCTATTAAAATACTTCTGACGAAGACTATTAAAATATTGGCACTCAATTAAAATGTAATGGACTGACAGACAAACATTACAATTTGGACAATTAGGCTCATTCTCAGCTTTTAGTAGATAGTTATGTGTCACTGTAGTGTGATCTATTCAAAGCAGAGTCAAAAGAACTTCCTCCTTACGATTTCTAGTAGAATCCCAAAGCTCTATTTTAGGCTTCACTGTTCTTAACTTGTAACAAGATTGGAAGTCCCAAAGTAGCTGCCACTTTTTTAAGATCCCTTGTTTGATGACATGACCAATATCTCTGAAAGAAATGAGCCGACCGGACAGTTCAACAACAGATTTCACTGAGATGTCTGCCTTCTCATTACCCTTTATTCCTGTATGTCTGGGCACCCAGCAGTACAGAATATCATATCCACGACCTGTTAAGTTTATATTCAACTTGAGTACATCTACTATCACAGGATTCTCAGTGCTGGAAAAAGATGCTAAAGCTTTCAGTGCATTGTAGGTCTGTAAATATTATGAATTTTCTACGGCGTAGCATTGAGATGTAGAAAAATGGATAATATATGGCAGTCAGTTTGGAGGTTAAGACCAAGGAAGCATCGTGTAAATGTCTGCCCTCCATTAGGTCACCAATTATAAATGACATCCCAACATGACAAGTTGACTTAGATCCATCCATATATATAAAGATAACTGCTATACCTGTGCTATACCTGTGCTCAGCAAAAATTTGTCTGTGGATGATCTCATTAGTGGTTGTTTTTAACTGTGGAAAATATCAAGAAGCTGGATTTGTTTATTTTCCCAAGGTGGGATTTCAAAATGCTGTACCTGTGTGAACATATCAGACAGGCAGAATTCTTCAATGAGAGGATGAATTCTAACAGGAAAAGAAGGCACACAGGATGGACATGCTTCAAATAAAAGGTCACAGCTATTATCAAGTAAACACAGTTTATAAGGATGGTCAGATTGAGACAATATATTAAAATACTGTAAAAGAGACAATTCCTCACACCTCAAATGGAGTGATGGTTCGTAAAAGTCAACATAAAGACAGATGTCCTGAAAGCTCCAGAACAAATCCACAGAGCTTGATGATGAACAGGGTCTAGTTTTAACAACACTAAAGACTGAGCGGATTCACAAACACCAGAGCCGTAGTCCAGTCTAGAGCAAACGAGATCTGTAAATGCGAAGCATAGGGCAACGCTCTGCACCCCAGGATGTGTTCACCAAGACTTTCAAAATAATTGAAATTTTTGTACACTTCTTTCTCAGTTTTAGGACATGAGAAAGAAAAGTCACTTTTCGGTCGAACAAAATCACCCCTGAAAATTTTACTTCAAGTGCAACTGGAATCTTGACCTATTGAGATATAATTCAGGCTCAGGATGGAGACCTTGCTTTCTACAAAAATGCACACAGTCTTCTGTTTCAAAAACGTAAATCCTTGTTTGTTTGCCCTTTCCTGGATCCTGTTCAAAGCGATCTGGAGCTGCCTCTCTACATGTCTCATATCTGCACCTTGACAGCTAATTTGTAAGTCATCAGCATAAAAAGATCCTGAAATGGTGGGATGAAGTTGTTTTAATACAGAGTTTATTTTTAGGCTGAAGAGGGTTACACTAAGCACACAGTGCACTTCAGGCACACACTTTTATTTTTGAAAACTTCTGACAAAAGACAGTCAATCCTTACTTGAAAAGTTCTAGCTTCCAAAAAATTCTGAATGAAAAATGGTAAGTTGCCATGTAAGCCACTATAATGAAGGTCACAAAGTATACCATATCTTCATGCCTTATCATAAGGTTTGTCTACATCAAAGAAAATTAAGACAAGATGATTTCTTCTTACAAAAGCTCTATGAATAGATGTCTCCAAAAGGAGCATGCTATATATCCTTGGTCTTCCCTTTCGAAAACCGGTTTGATAAGGTGAAATTTATATTATTCTTCTCCAAGAAATTGACTAAGCGGCTGTTTACTATTTTTTCAAACAGTTTGCATATGCAACTAGTAAAGGTAATTGGCCAATAGTTCAAGGGATTTCTCAGGTCTTTCCCTGGCTTAGCAATAGGAATCACAACAGCTCTCCTCCATGTACTGGTAAAATTTCGCTCTTTCCACACCCTGCTGTAAAGAGTGAAAAGGGCAGTCAGGGATTTATAGGACAGATGCTTCAGCATTTCATAATACACACTATCAACACCCTGACAAGACCTATGAGTCTGCAACAAAGCGCTCTTTAACTCTAGCATAGTAAAATCTCTATTATAAGGCTCAAAGTTGGAAGAGTTGAAAGCGATGGGATTTCTTTCAGAGTGTTGCTTGATAGAAAGAAAAGCAGGTGAGTAATTTCTGCTGGAAGAAACGACAGCAAATGTCTCACCAATAGTATTCGTGGAGCTAGTCACTCAGCCATCTTTATCCAAAAAGGAAAGTGAGTGGTCTTTATATATTCCACATGCTTTTTTAACTCTTTCCCAAACCCGCTTACTATGCGTAGAGGAGTACAGGATGTTATTGACAACACATATGAAATCCAGGAATCCCTCAGGCTTTGCCTTCTTACTTTTAGTGCACTTGCTTTGGCTCTTTTAAATGCTATAAGGTTTCGCAAAGTAGGGTATCTGTGAAAAATTCCCCATGCTTTTTTTGTTTTTTTTTCAGTGCTTCACGACAGTCACAATTTCACCATAGTTTTGAATACTTTAGCATTTTTCCTGATGAGAGATGAAGGATGGAGAGCATAGCTGCCTGAATAATAGTATTGGTAGCTGCTTCAACTACATCATCGATATGCACATCTTCTACCATGTTCTCTGCAGTGGAAGAGAAGAGTTCCCAGTCTGCCCTATCAAGTAGGAACCCAGGGGATCTCGATATGGGGTTTGCTCCTCTTCATGCAAGAGATACAAAAATGGAATAATGAATGGCAACAAAGATGGTGAACAGATGGCGAAGTCGAGAGCGTGGAATGTCCTTGAAGGCTCATGGAAATATGTATCCTGCCCATTATTCAGGAATTTCTGTCTTTACTTCCCCAGAGCGGACTATGGCCATTAAAATCCCCTATTATGATAAAGGGCTCAGGCAGCTACTCTATGAGACCATTTAAATCTTACTGAACAATGTGCTCATTTGGAGGCAAATACAGAAAAACGACTGAAACTACAATATGAAAATTTGCTTCAGCAGCGACAACTTGGAGGGATGTCATCAAAGAAAGTGCATTTGATGAATAGTCTACTGAGGCCTACACCTCTACTGGCACACTCACCTGCAAGATTTTCTTTCCTGAGCAGAGAGAACCTCCGAAGTTTGCTTGTTGTTCTGGTTTCGATTTGTTTCCTGTATTGCTAAGCACACAGAATGATAAGCATTGATTATAGCTTTGATGTCAAGCAAACTTTGGTGGAAACCGCAACAGTTCCATGAGATGAGGGTGGCTATTATGATTGATGTTTGTTCTTTCTGTGCTGCTTTTTAGTTTTTCATTTAAGTAGATGCTAGGGAACTTCTAAACCCTCTTCTACTTCCATACTATCTGAATCCACCATTTTCATTTTGGGCACAAGCAAGAAAATGCTGGGTGTCCTCCCTTGCAATTTATACACAAAAAACACAGCGATACAATTATCATAATCGTGACCAATCTGTGAGCATCGGGCACATGTGAGATTGAAATGACAAGACATCTTAGAATGGCTGAAGCGTTGACATTGAAAGCATCGCAAAAAAAGTTTGGAATATAAAGTCTTACATGACGATTTAGGTATCTGGCCTTAATATTCTTAGGCAAATCAGGAGAGTTAAAGGTCAGGATCGCGTGTTTCATATCGATCAACTGACCTTCCTTATGCATCTTGATCCGCTTAACATCACAGACATTTTGGTCAGACAGCTCAGATGCTATCTCTTCTTCGGGAATATACAGAAAGTTGACTTCCGAAGATTACACCGCAACAAAAAATTCAAAGTCTTATGTGCTGTTACAGTGACATTCGCTTGCCCAAGTTTGGTTACTTGAAATAAGAAAGCAGACTAGGTCACCGAAGTTGTGCCAATAAGCAAGTCTCCAGAGCAGAGACGCTTTATATTTCTTGGCTCGCCAATAAAAGAATGAATGCATTTATTTATTACAAAAGGAGACATCTTTTGCAGCTTGTCAGAAGGACTAGAGATAACAATGAAACGGGGACATTTGTTAGGCGTATTCGCACTTGCATCAGTACATACATTTTTAACAGTAGATTTTTCAGAACTGGAACTCGGAGCAACGTGATTGACTTCAAAGTCTTGAATTAAATATATTTTAGAATTAGCCATAAAGAAGGAAATTATTCGGTTCCAACCACCACACCCACCATGGAGCCCAAAAAGGGAACACAGATTTCTGTGTTAGGGCTAGCTGAACCTATACACAAACTGAAGCCCCACAGTCAGCTTTCCCGAAAGCAGGTACTTCCGAGAGCCTATCCCCAAGCCACTGACACATGGACCAGCCGATTGACACCCCTGAGGACAACACTGTGCCACCCATTTAGCTGCAGCAAAGGCCAAAGCAGTGTATTGAGGACAGTACCTCGCCCCTCAACTACCAGGACCATCCTTTCCAGCAGCACAGGTCTCCACGCGCAACAAACAAGTGGGCTCAAAAACTACAGACAAGGGCTGTTCCAGTCTCTCATGATGAGTCCCAACCTCCAAAGAGGAAAACCACAAGGGAGAATGGAAGGAAAAAAGCTTCAGCTCAGAGGAGAGGAGACAGAAAAGAGGATAGATCACTGACACTCCAGGATTGTGACATGGTCTCACCAAGAAGATGATCCCCTAAAGGGCTAGGGTATACCTCGGAATATTATACCTTGTATAATATTCCGAATACTGTTTAGTGAGTACAGGGATTGCAACACCTATACTCACTAAAGTGAGCCCTGAGGGTCCAAAAAAAATGAAAGATACCATAAAAGACAATATAAACGCTTTCAACCTTGTTTTTCTCATAACACCATCAAGGGTTCTTTCATTTTGTTGTAACTCCTGGATATAATGCAAGTAAAATGTCTTTTTTTCAGATTGCCACACTTTCTGATGAATTTCCCATGCAGCATGTTTACAAAAATTTTAATCCTTCACAGCTGTAGCGAATGGAGGTACTGCAATATACAGGAAAAAAAAAAAAAAAAAAAAATCTCTTAAACATTTGTTTTGTTTATCAGACACTAATTATTTCACCCCTGTAGTCTTCTTTCGCAGCCACTCCCATATTTACTTCTGATTCCAGCATCCATTTGAATGTTGTTGTCAGGTGCCAATAAAAAATTTCATTATTTAAATTAAAGAATATATAAAACATTTAACAGCAAAAGCAGAAAGGTTTCCAGTTTATAAAACTGTTTCCAGAAATACAAAAATAAGAAAGAAGATCAGCTGGAGTACATAACCATACTGTAGCACACAGTAGGAAGGGGGAAGAAAGAACTAGAAGAATAATTTTGCAATACATGAAACTATCATGAAGACAAGACATTCTCCAAATACCCTCTTTCATTTGGGACAATGAGCTCACCTAGATTAGACAGCACCTACATTAGACAGCACCAATGTTTTAGGCCTTTGGAAGTAAGCTACAGTCGTGTGTCCATACAGTGCTTCCTCCTTCTCATGAATACTATGGAATGTGTTTCTAATTCTCTGGCAAAAACATCCTTTCAGAAGATCAGTAGCTACTACTAATATCTATTTGTAAAGATTCTAAGATTGTATCTCAGATTTTATTTCTATTGATATTTTAAAACAAAATTTGGGAAATACAATGAGTTTAAACTTCATAAATGTGGAAATAAAGGATTTGAGAAAGTAAATACAGTCAAAAGTCTTTAATAAGGACGTCCATAATCCGGACCTAAAAGCTATAAACTTTCTGTGCATGCGTAAACGCATAATGCGTCTATGTATGCGTATATGCCTTTACGCATGTGCGTTTAATGTATAGCCAACTGTAAAAGCTAAGCTAAAATTATCTAATTATCTATTTCAGTCGCATTATTTCAGATTGCGTTGTTCCTTGATCTTCGAATTCGATCCGGCTTATTTTTTGCAGACTGTTAGAGCAATTTTATAAAAGTAAGCTTGAACTTTCGATTATGTCAAATAGAATTTCCGATTTTGGAGCTGCCAAAGGATCTACAAAGTGAAAGCAAGTTTCAATGTCCATTAAACAAAAAGTGGAATTGCTGCAAAAAATGGATAAAGGCATGAAGAATGTGACAGAGAGGTGATTTGTTTCTCTAACTATTCCGAAATCTGTTTATCAATTTCACGCTGCTCTGCGGGGGAACGTCGCGGTGTGCAATGAACTGGAACTGGAAGTTGATCTGTCAGCACTATGCTCATCTTCAGGGCAGATGTTTTTATTTTATTCGGCTTATAATTCCTTACTAAATGTAGTGTTTCATCTCGATGTACTCCGATATGATTTAAATCAATTTCCTTGTCATTATAAATATCACGAATACGCATAAAATAGTTTTCTGGTTGCAATTTTCTAATTTTGACTATGTGTAATGTATGCTTTATGCATGCGTGCATTGAAAGAAATGTTTAATAAAGTAAACAAATAAATATTAAGCTTTTTTTTTTTTTTTTTATTTATTAAATTTTGATACTCTTTAGATCGCAATTGCTCTTTATTTCATAAATCATGATTTCATATTTTTAATTGTATAATTTCTGCATGCCATCTTACCAGATTTAAACTGATGATCTATAATCCGGAAAAATCAATAATCCGGAATAGCTGAAGTCCCGACGAGTCCGGATTAAAGACTTTTGACTGTAATGTGAAATTCTGGTTACATCCAAACCATAGTCACCCTTGTATAATATTCCGAATACTGTTCTACTCATGGTTATTATTTTCAATATGGAACAAAATTCTTTGTTGGTAGTGAAAATTTTAATTAAATACTTCTTCTTTTGTCAAAATCAAAAAATTGTTTCACAAAACTACACTCTATGCTTTTTATTTTTTCTGTTTTAATGAATTTTTCTAAATCTCAGTTAACTTTTTTGACTACCTTATAAACACATACATATATATCTATACATATATGCACATTAATAACTAGTAAATATTTTCCTTTTCTCTTAACTCACACAAAGGCCTAATGAAAAATGACATCATTAAAAAGTTATTTTTACTGGTTCCTGACAACTATTAATTACACTGCTTTAAAACATACCACTGTTTCAACAGTACGGATTAAACATTAAATAGCTTTCCCCAGCAAGATTATGAATAATTTACAAAAAATGTACTTTTGTTATTAATCAAATAAAACACATTAAAAATGTTACCTCTGGTAAAGGATGAAAGAATTGGTCCATTACATGCATAATATCAAGTAACATATTATGACCGACTACAAGCTTTTTTGATTCAGCTATGCAATCTAATACTTTGCGAAACCCAACAGCAACATCTAAGTCACCCTAAAAAGAATAAAATTCTCATTCGTGAAGTATACACTATCAAAAGAATATTAGAAATTAAAATTTCAGAAAAAAACAGAAATACATATATATTGAAACTTTGTCCATTACAAATATCGAAAAATATAATATTCAGTTTATCATCAGAAAATTTTTATTGATAAATATTATATTTATTAATAACAGCAGTAAAAATTTTGAAAGCAACAAGCAAAAATTTGTAACCTTTCCCTAAACACTTTTAACAATATGAAAAAGTTTAATAATTAAGCAAAAAATTTGGACTGTGCTTGAAGAATACCAACAATAAAATATATAAACAGGCGCTTGATGCAATTGCTTTAATTGTTCTTGCATTGCAAGATAATTAATTCACGGACAAATCTTCATCTACATTATGAAACAACACATTTAAAAAATTTGATGCAATGTCGTATGTTATTCATAATCTTTTTTTTTAGCACCTGCAACTTAGTACACACCCTTTTATTATAATACCTCTCCTCATTAAGATCTTATTACAAGCACATCTTAATTACTTTAAACATATTCTCACAGTCGTATGCAATATTTTTCTCACCTGATAAAACACTATCTAGAAGCTGAACGCAGAGTGAATTAATTTGCACCTGTAAAAAGTATATCAGTTATACGTGTACGTATATGACACAAACATGTATTATATTGAGGTTTGAATCAATAAACTTTGATTACAAGAGTTTTGGCATTGAGTCCATTATAGTCTATCTTGTCATAAATTTCTTGCCACAGATTGTTAACATATGCCCATGTTCTTTTGCTAGAAGGACTATTCATAAGATGAGCAATTAAGATATACCACTAATATTTATTGTTACAGCTAAGAAAAACTATCTTTATGCCCTGAAACAGAGGTAAGGCAACCCTTGCATACAAATACATTCCACTGATTTCAAATGCTACTCAAAGTCTGGAATATTCAAAACTGCTTGGAGGCATTTACTGCACTGTGACCTTTTTCCAACTTTCCCTTGATATTTTCTAATGTAAAACAATCCTCATAATATCTTTTAAAAATTAAAAAATTTCATATTTATAACTTTATGTAAAGATTTTCCTCCAAAACACCACCTGAAACATCATTTTTTCTACCACCTCAAGAGAAACCCAATTTTTATTAAAGTATTGCTCCATGATTCACAGACGTGGTTAAAAAATTTGCATGTACAGAGGTTTTCTACAAAATATTCCCAGATGCTTTTATAAACTGTCTATGATTTATTTCCTACAACTTTTTTAATCTTCCTTACCTTTGAATTTAAGAAAAACCAAATATATAATATTTAGCAATCAAATCTCCCACAAATACTACAACATTATTAAACAATTTCTTCGGAATTTATTAGTCCAAAGGGGATTCGACCCTGAAGGACTATTGTTTTTGTTTTGCGATTTCTCATTGAATAACTATAAATGTCCGTTTCACTTTTCAAACTGTTGCCACCAAATATTAGTCTTGCATTATATTTGATGAAATTAAATAATAAAAAATCTACATAAATGTATGCATTTTTCTTGCATTGTGATAAAACAACAGTACATAGAGCTAGCGAAATTTGAATGACGTAATCCTACTGCAAATATGGGCATGTGGAAGCCCAAATTTGAAATTTGGAATTCGTTTTATTATCGATTTCATATTTAGTAAAACTTTTAACAAATTTTTTAGTAACAAACTCAACGATTTGAAAGCGAGCAATGGCAACAATCTACGGGGAAAAAAAAAACTTTTTATCTCCAGCTCACATAACTGTGTATCAAAAATTCTAGATAGGCTCAATTTAAAATTATTTTCGACATTGCTATTGAACTGAAATTTATGGCCTAAGTGCGAAGAACATGATATTTCATAAATAAAAGTAACACATAAAACGTTTAAAAAACGCCCCTTTGGACGTAATTTGAAATCTGAAAACTTTCAGATTTTTTTTTTTTTTTTTTTTTTGGTATATGTATTTTATTTTTGGTCTCTGCCTAGTTGTCTTACAAATATAATAATAATGGTACAGTATCATTATTAGTACAGGGCTATACATACACAAACAAAGGGAGGGCCTTTTTTACTACCTTGTACGAAGTAAAAAGGAAGTATTGTAATTGCAAAAATTTTAAGCATCATATTTCAACGAAAATATCCATTTTGAATACTATCGAATGCAATTTAATGATGGTTTTGCATGACATCCGTACGCAAGGACAGAATAAAAGACTCTTTTCCCCAAAAAGATTATAAAACTGATTTAAAATGAATTCTAAAGAGAAGTTTTCATGGCATCCGTACGTACGTACGTATCTCACGTAACTCGAAAACAAGTAGCCTCAAAATGTTAAAATTTTATATATAGGTCTGCTATAACATGTAGATGTGCACCTCATATTTTAATTGTAATTGGCCACACCAAACACATATAAATATATGTATATATATATATATCCACTTTGTAAACCGGCTCAGTGATCTCAGTTTCTTTATTCTTATACGTTTGTAAGTTGTACGTTTTTTACTTTAAAAGCGATTGAATTATTTTGTTCTTATCTTCCGGTCAAAGTTTATGCCTTTAGTAAATCTGCATGCAATATTTGTGGAGTTATCAACAATTTAAAAGTTATTTAAGTGCAGCTAAGTCTAATGAATTTTGAGATGGCGGACACGTTTGTTTACATTTCAAACTTGGTAAAATAGCGGATTTGTTGCCAATCTAGAGAAACGTAAGCTTCGCTAACAACAAAGATAACAGTGCCATCTCTTATTATTGCGAATTAAATCATGTTAATCCCCATTTCTGGAATTTATTGAGGAATAAGTGTTTAAGATTTTCGTAATTTTTAATATAGATATTTGTGTTTTTATGTATGTTTTTTTGCCTTGTCGGGAAGTGAGAACTGAATTAATTGAATGAGAAATACTCAATCGTCTGTGAAAAACTGTTTCTCTTTTGTTTTGCTTGCTTAATTTCTTTTCATATAGCGTTCTAACTTTATTATCGTATTTGAATAGAACATGTGGCAACGATTAGATAATTCTTTAAATGATATAAATTTGTGCATTCTGATTTATAATATGAACGAAATATAACGCTATTAAGTGAACCTAGAAGCCAGAGTGTCGCTGTGGTAAACAAATATAGTGAATTTTAAAGAGTGCATTTATTCTATTGTGGTTCATGCGATATCGACAAAGTAGATTTAATTCAATCCAATGCGTTTAAATGAAATACAGAAAAATAAATGCGTATAATTTAATATTCTGCACAAGGAAGTCATGCGGCGTACACATCAGATTTTTTTTTTTTTTTTTTTAAAGTCACATGCGCAGGTTTTTGCTAAACAAGACCTTTTTCACAAACAAATTGGGGGCATTTTATGATTATCTGCATTCCCTGAAAAGTATTTATGTGGTAATGCAGTAAGTCAACAAAATATGCAACACATGCTGTCGTGAAAATATGCAGTTTTATGGCAATTTAGGTATGCATGCACATGCAATAGATTGAATAGAGAGCACTGATTTCCACCTTTAAATTTTATTAGAGCTTGTTCATCATTAGTGTTTCTTCTTGGAACAATGAGTGCTTTTCTTATTATTATTATTGTTGTAAGGAATTATTATGGGACTGTGAAATCTGCCAGCTGATTAAAAAGTACTGCAATTCTTCAGAAATATGAATTTGCTCAACAGTAGAGAATGCAAAAATTTGCATTCTACAAAGCTGCATTTAAATGACTTGAGTTTTATGGAGAAAAAGTTGTGCAATTCTCCAATGTTTTCCTTAAGCAAAAACATGTCACTGTACATGGGAAGAACAAAAACGTATGCACGATGCAAAAATTACATCAAGATTTCTTAAGAAAGGTGTAAGTTTTAACATCCATGTTTCTTGCTTTAAAAAAAAAAAAAAAAAAAAAACATTTAATGCTCTTTTATGGAATTCTTAAAGCACTAGTTTTTAAAATATCTGTTGCCTTTTGTAAATTAACTTGGCGAAAAAATAGTTGCCAATGAATTTGCACCTTTTTAAAGAGGGGTGCAAATAATCAGAATACACCAGAAAAAAAAAAAAAAAAAAAAAAAAGAGAGAGAGAGAGAGAGAGATAGAGTCCTTTTAACTTTTCTTGTATTTGCATCTTATATGGCACTTATGTATCACTGAAAACACCAAATGATAATTAATAGCATTTACTACTGTGACATCACAACTTACTTTTCTAAAGTATTGCCTATTTACAAACAGTTTGAACAAAGTGACTGATAGAGGATCATAATAATTTGAACCAAATGACAGGACTGAAGAATAACATTATTTCCTTGATTAAACTACTGACTGTTTAAGTTCATAATTTTTACAATATTTTGTAATCTTTCATTAACAAAATAAATGTCGTATCTGAGCAACACATAAAATTACGTGTTTGAAAAAAATATACCTTTGGTTCAATCAAAGAGCAAATTTAATGTTAAAAATTCAACATACAATTTAATACAAAACACATACATTTAATACATGTAGAATTTAAACAGAACTTTAGGGCAAGCCTTTAGGGAAAAAATGACAAAAAAAAAGGGTGTTAAAAGAAAAAAAGTGGCAAGTATTTCTTGGCTCAGTTCAAATCAAACAGTCCTGAATATGCATGATTACAAATATCAAATAGAAATTTACCATATCATTTATCTGTTTCAAATGAAGTTTATCTAATTTCTCCTCACTGGTTGTTTTCACAATTGTAATCACTCGTCTATTTTCTGCATTCATGGATGATGACATTTCTATGCCAGTCTGATATTTCATTTGAACTGTTTCATAAATTAATTTACGTCGATAGGAACTGCAGGGTTCTAACTGAATCACCGTTTCTGAATCATTTGAAATAAAAGCATCAACTTTTTCACTAGGAGAAAAAAATTTTAATGAGCAACTTAATAAATTTAACAAAATATACACTAATTTAGATGAGCTAAATAAACATATTTCATACACATTTAAAAACATAAAATGAAATGACCATATTTTATAAAGTAAATAGACTGAATCCACATACTGGATTTCAGCAATAAATTGTTTATGCTCTTCAGGAACATCAACTTCTTTCTGCCCATTTGTTTTTGCCTTTTGCTCAGAAGAAACTATCGCTTCCTTTTCAATTTTATGCCTGTTTCTGAGATAGCCTCTGATTTTCTCTTCTTGAAGTGGATTAAGATATGAAATACCTGAAATATGAATTCAGATATGGAATAAAAACTCATCAATTAAGATTTTTAGATGTAAAATGCATAAACTACATCCCAGTAGTTGAAAAACTAATAACACGCTCCCCCAAACAAAAAACTACATACCATCATACATTCAATCACCATTTTTTGAAGAATAAATATATTTTTACCATACGATAATAAAATGAAAGAAACTGCAAGATTTATTGCATTTTTACAAAGAACAGCTTAAATATACAGTGATACCTCGGTATACATCCTGTTTGGAAGTGAAAATTTTTGCTTGGTACACGATTTTGTTTGAAATATAACTCAAGTTCAGTAAGTTATGACTGTGCATGCCCTACTTGTTTACTTATTTCGAGATCATGGTATGACTGACTACCCATAAGCATCAATAAGTCTTATGCTACTACACTGTAAACAACTCACACTAAGATTATAAATTTTAAAGTAGTTTTGTGTTTTCATGTGTAATTTTCTTGTAAATTCATTACCAATAAGTTTTAGGAAAGTTAATAAGAAAAATCAAACAACACAAAAAATTGTTAGAATCACCATGGAGGTGAAAAATGAAATCATTGAAATACATGAATATGGCATGTGTACATTGGACTTGGCTACAATATATCGCATGCCAAAAATGATGGTGTCAAGGATTGTGACAAACAAAGACGCTAGCTACTAAATCGGAGAATATCCCCAAGGGGGTGAAAACAATTAGATGTTAGATTGTTCTTAGGACTCCTGTTCACCCTCTCAAGGAGAGGATAAATCGAAAATTTACCAAAGGACACTATTAATCCTTTAATGGTATGATCCAGATCATCTCATTCTTTTATACAGGCTCCTTAACGGTTCGTTACGGAATATTGTTAATTTAAATGTACCCTTGAAAATTGACAGTCCTGTGTTTTTGTAATAATGAAAAGATACGCCAAGAAGGACTAGCCCAGACTTTTGTATCTCTTCCAACCCCCCAATACCTAAGGGACGAAGGTCCACGCAACCCTGACGACAATGGGTGATAGCTGTCATTAGCGTTGCGAGACATCTTCTTGATGCTTTGAGATAAAGGCCTTACACTGACTCTAAAGAAACAAATTTATCACCAGTTGAAAAGTGAATGTATATATAAAAGGAATTAAGAATTTCCGTTTTCAAGCAGTTACTGAATTAAAAAAAGAAGTTTTTTCAAAATAAACTTTCATTTATACCTAATTAATAAAATCGTTAATCAATTAAAACGAGAAAAATAATATATCGTAATTTAATGGGAACACGAGATTAAAAAATTCTCTTTAAAAAATACTTTTACAAACTTATATCATCAATAATAAAAAGTTTGAACAAACGAGGCTCTCTTGATAAATTTATAAATGTTATAGTTTTGACAATGCGATTTGCTTATTTGATTTTGTTATTTAAGAACCTATTATTCTTGTTATAAAACTGTACAGGAATTATGCAAAGGGGCTTAAGTAATCTCTTATTCCTATTAATCTATATGATAAATTATTTTTTCTTCTTTTCAGTCTTTTACTTCCAAGAATCCTCTTACCTCAAATAATCGAAAAGGTCTATAAATTTAAAAAAATTCGGCCAAAAATTTCATTCAAATTTTATTTTAAAAGCTTTTTAATGCTCTGTAAAATGATGCAAATTAAAATTTTTTGAGATTTTTAGTTTATTCTTTAAATGGAAATACAAGCAAAAAAAAAAATGTTTTCAACATCAAATTTTATAAAACTCGTTTTACCATGTTGTATTATCATGCCTAAACAGTGTGCATACAAAATTTGAACTCAATAGCTTATCGAGAAATAGTTTAAAAATTAATGACGAGCTTCTGATCATAGCGCAAAACACTGTGAGTGAACTGAATACAGGTTTTGAAACAAACTTGCCAACTCTTTAATATTATATTTTTAAACACTTTGGGAAGATCGGTAAATTGTTGATATGGCATAACCGTTATTTTTATTACATTCTTGGTATTATGAAACATGTATGTGACATTCATATGTGATTCCCGACAATTCTGTTCATTTATCAACATGGTTACCTTTGAAAATATTGTGATGCTCATTCTATATGCTCCAGTATATATGATACACATTACTAATATTTAATTTTCTATTTGCATACAGAAATATTGGTAATACTGAGAGAGGTCGACAAAATTTTCGCAAATATTTAATTATTTGAGTTATATAACTACTTAAGCTAGCTCAAGTTGTCATTTTTGTAAGTGCCATTTTGTAAAAACAATCCTTTCTTTAAAATTCCTTTTTTGCCTCTCCCCCCCCCATGCTTAATGACTTTATTACCTTTTGAGGAATGAAAGCTATGAAAATGAAAACCTAAGTACTGAGAAATAAATGCTCTACAACTACAGCTTTTAAGATTTTAGCAGAATTTTTAGGAACCGTAGTTATATAGATTGCAGTAGAAATCGACACAGTTTATGCCAATCTGGAAGGGCATTGTCTAATTTTCAGCTGCTTATGAGTGTATTAAAAAAGCTTTCACACTTAAAATTTTAACTACCTTAAAATATTTATAATTGCACTCGATTTTATGTACACAATTTTTTCCCCTAAGATTTCTTTAAGAAAGAAAGAATTAAAATTGCATTTAATGCAGAAAATTTAATGGATTTGGAATCTGTGCAAGAGGATGAAATCTATCATGGAGGACTTTCTAAGGAGAACTAGATCTCATTCACACTGAATGTAGAAAACCCAAGAAAACTTTCATGGAACAAGCACGTTCACCAGGATTTGAACACAATGTCGAATTACCAGTGCTCAGCGGCTTTAGCGCTTGACCACGGAGGGAGAAGATCAATTTAAAAATCTTGTTTAGAAATCTTTCATCTTGATTTAGTGTGACAGGTGCCATAGTTTGAGGGTTAGGATTATTTAAATACAGCAAAACACATGAGGACTATTTTGAATCTATGTCGAAATAACAGTATTTAGCAGTCTTATTGGCTGCTGATATGGCCATAGTATAATATGGGAAATAACTATTACCAGACTGTATGGTTTCTAAATTATGAAATACAAAAAATTCACTTCTGAGGTTGTCTTAAATTCAAATTAAGTTTTTTTTAATTCTAATTAATTTAATTATGAAATAGTTCATGTGATTTGAGTCATATTCAGATTGTTAACATTAGTGTGGTTTTAATGAACGATTATTTAAACCTGCATTAGACAAAATTTAAGTTTCATGTATTTTAGAACTAGTCAAATAATTACATTACATTAAAGATTACTGATGCAAAAACATATCTATGTTTGCCTCAACTGTAGCTGAACTGCAACGGGGGGGGGGGGGGTCTGTAGAAGACTTTCTGAGGGAAACTGGCATGTTGTTGGGCTCTAAAAATAATGTAATGAGTTAATATAAAAATGCTTTATATAAACTAAATGCCTAATTTATATGTGTGTATATAAATAACATATAAGCAGTTTAATATTTAAAATAATCTGGAACAATTAATCAAAACAATCTACCAATCCAAATCCTATCAGCTGCAGTAAGTAGAGCAACAAATTGCAAAATTATAGCATCAAAATATTAAACAAGCCTATAAAAGCTTGTTTAAATTTTATGAATATGAAATTTAAACATTTATTTATGAATAAATAAATGAATTTTTTTTAATTTGCATTTTGAGTCGAAAAAACAAATCATTTAAATACAAGCAGTCCAACTAAAAAAATAATGATGTATGACAATTTAAAACTCTACTGGGCAGGGCAAAATGATTTTCTGCAAATATGTAGTATCAAAATCACAAACAAGCAAAAAGGCTTAACAATCTAATAAAAATTATTCTTTATTTAAGCGGACAGAGTTTCCAAAAAACCAGAAACAGAAACAATCCAATAACTGAAAAAATAATAAACACTTAAATTTTGATCCAAAACAAACATAAAATAAAAAGAAGAGATAGTTCTTATATAATCTGCAACATTAGGCAGGGTTGCCACTCAAACAGGACAATAAAATTCCCTGACTTTTCCAGGTGTGTTTAAAGAAAATTCCAGTCTATTCGCATAGTGCGCGCTAGTTGTGCTAAAGGTAAATTAATTACTTGATAACACAAAAATCTGCTAATTGCATATGACTTATATACATATTACCCAAACAATTACTATTATGACTACAACAGGAGTTATTTTCCATTTTCCTCAATAGCTTTCATTTACAAAAGAAATTAAATAAGTACAATGCATTCCATCTAAACCAAAACCAGAAATGAAATTCATTGATTTTTCAATGCAATGTATGAACTTTTAAACATAAGATTTTCTCCACCATTAATTGTAATAAAATTATGTCATGAATGATATTAAAAAGTATTATACATAAATTCTGGAATGGAAGTTATTGTTCACAAAATGGCAGTGCGGGGCCCATTTATATCTATCCTATTAAATAATATATAATTGGCAAACAATCACCTCAGTGATATTTCAACACTTGCTAAATTCTGAAAGGTTAAAAAAGCATTTTTTTTTTTTTTTTTATGCGAAACTGTTAATATAAGCATACATAATATATGTTAAATGTAAATTTTTATTAGAACTAAAAAGAAGACATTTAATATATTTCAACAAAGCATTAATAGAAAAAATACTAATGAAAAATAAGCACCAAATTAGATTTCTTGTTTTAACTCTGCAATTTGCAAGTCAATTGAAGAAACATCTCTGCTCAATTTTTGTTTTTGTTTTTTTTACTCCAAAATTTTAATCTGTGCCTGTGCTTTCCTTTTGTCTAATAATATTTTTTATGTTTATTATCACACAGTTTTTTGTCTTCGAGTGCTCGGTGATATGCACCACGAGCAGATCTGGCATATCATAACATATAAGGAGTTACATTAATATTAATCACACCTCCATTTACTTTTATAGCATCATAAACAGTTTGCACTGCTGTTAAAGAATTTTCCTGCAGATTTTCCACCAACATATCAT